AGTCGGCTGCATACAATTCCATCGATAAGCTCTTTGCTCTTCCTGGTTTATCTGCTAAGGACAGCAACAGGTTTGGCTAACATACATATAACACATTTTTACATAATCTAAAATGCACATAGGGTAATTTTTCAATTACTATAGGAATGATAAGAAAGAGAGGTGAAGTGTAAGACGGTTGATTTTAGAAATTGGATGCACCCGGCTGCTGCAAAACACAGGAGTTTATGGAGGACACACGCGTTTTGTTTTACTTTTTAAAACTCATTGGACTCATTTCCAAATGGAGGATTACATATCTACGCTCAAACCATTAACTGGATTTAAACAAGGAACTGGTCTGAACCGAAGTGGACTGTGCAGGTCATTTATAAGGTAAGACCCATAACTCATAGTTTTGCGTTTTGTATGAACAAACAATGCGGGCATAAAACATATTTTGCTGTAGCCAAACAAATTGTCCACTTGATTTATATGATGTATATGTTCATCTGATTGGACTGAAGTCAGTGCTTCACCAGCCTCACCGCTCGTCACCGGTGTTTCCACATTCACAGTGGCGGGTGTTGGTGTTTAGTGCTTTACAGCACAGTGAGAGATGAAGAGTGAACAGGACTTCAGCAGCAAAACAGCCTTTTCTAGATGGAAATATTGGCACTGTTAGGTAAAAATGCGCACGTTGGGTGCACATTATGTTCCAGAACAAAACGAAAAACTAACGCAATAGTTACTTTTACTGGTAACTAGTTACTTTTATAGTGGAGTAACTCCGTTAGTAACTCAGTTACTTTTTGGGAGAAGTAACTAGTAACTATAACTAATTACTTTTTCAAAGTAACGTGCCCAACACTGGAAGCATGGGGGTGGAAACGTCATGCTTTGGGGCTGTTTTTCTGCTAAGGGGACAGGACGACTGATCCGTGTTAAGGAAAGAATGAATGGGGCCATGTATCGTGAGATTTTGAGCCAAAACCTCCTTCCATCAGTGAGAGCTTTGAAGATGAAACGTGGCTGGGTCTTCCAGCATGACAATGATCCCAAACACACCGCCCGGTCAACAAAGGAGTGGCTCCGTAAGAAGCATTTGAAAGTCCTGGAGTGGCCTAGCCAGTCTCCAGACCTCAACCCCATTGAAAATCTGTGGAGGGAGTTGAAAGTCCGTGTTCACTGCTCTCGAGAAGATCTGCATGGAGGTATGGGCCAAATTACCAGCTACTGTGTGTGCAAACCTGGTAAAGACCTATAGTAATCGTTTGACCTCTGTTATTGCCAACAAAGGTTATATTACAAAGTATTAAGTTGAATTTTTGTTATTGACCAAATACTTATTTTCCATCATAATTTATATATAAATATAAATAATATTATATATAATAAATTCTTTAAAAATCCTACAATGTGAATTCCTGGATTTTTTTTCACATTCTATCTCTCACAGTTGAAGTGTACCTTTGATGAAAATTACAGACCTCTGTCATTATTTTAAGTGGGAGAACTTTCACAATCGGTGGCTGACTAAATACTTTTTTGCCCCACTGTATATCGGTCTAAAAACATGCACATGGTTACAGTAAGAACACAGTAAGGTCCATTTTACAAAATAGATTACGTTCTCAAGTTTAGTATTTAAAGGTACACTGTGTAATATTTAGTGCCATCTAGCGTCGAGATCTTATATTGCAGTCTATCAAAGTACGGTGGCCTTACAGTTGAGGAGCACTGTCAAAGACAGAGCTCCTCAACTCTCAGTCATTCACCAGACTGCCAAGGAAAGAATACTTTAGTTTGATAAATGACCGGATCTCTCCAAACGTCTTGGGAACTTGACAGACGCGTGGAGCCGACATGTAAACAAGACCGCGTTCAGACGCAGCACCCTGCACAGAGGCTCTACTGAGTTTTACCATGGATCTATTATAATATATAGTTTTACAAACGCGGTGTGAATCAGAATCAGAATCAGAATCAGAATCAGAAGAGAAGAGAAGTGAAGAGAAGAGACGCATGGAGGAATAACGCCTGTGGGAGCTATACACAGGAGATTGCGTCAGGATATGACAAAGCTCATGTTAGCATTAGCGTTCGCCACAGCGCCCAATCTGCATCACGGTAAGAAACAGAACATTCACTCACGCTGCTGATAAAGTATTCTGTGATTGTTTTGTGGGGATTCTGTGTGTGTTTTATTTGAGGCTTTGCCCCTGAATAAGTTTAGTTGAAACTTGTGACAGTAGTTGGACTGGGATCGGGTCAGAACATCCTGAGATTGTGTTGCAGATTCTGCTTTGTTCTCATTATTGTCAGTGCAAAAAAGTTACGTATTGTTCACGTGTGAGTCTGTTGTGTACAAACTCCACGATGTGCCTCCTGTTGTGTTAACGCTGTCTTTGTGCGTGTGGTTTGCGATGTTGACACTTCGCTGCTATAACGCTGGACTTCTGCATAATTATTATTCTAAAAGATTGTTGTTTGGATCGTTCTTTTACATAACTGTGGTCCTCCATGGTTCTTTTACATAACTGTGGTCCTCCATGGTTCTTTTATATAACTGTGGTCCTCCATGGTTCTTTAATATAACTGTGGTCCTCCATGGTTCTTTTATATAACTGTGGTCCTCCATGGTTCTTTTATATAACTGTGGTCCTCCATGGTTCTTTTATATAACTGTGGTCCTCCATGGTTCTTTTATATAACTGTGGTCCTCCATGGTTCTTTTATATAACTGTGGTCCTCCATGGTTCTTTTATATAACTGTGGTCCTCCATGGTTCTTTTATATAACTGTGGTCCTTCATGGTTCTTTTACATAACTGTGGTCCTCCATGGTTCTTTTATACAACTGTGGTCCTCCATGGTTCTTTTACGTAACTGTGGTCCTCCATGGTTCTTTTACGTAACTGTGGTCCTCCATGGTTCTTTTACATAACTGTGGTCCTCCATGGTTCTTTTATATAACTGTGGTCCTCCATGGTTCTTTTATATAACTGTGGTCCTCCATGGTTCTTTTATATAACTGTGGTCCTCTATGGTTCTTTTATATAACTGTGGTCCTCCATGGTTCTTTAATATAACTGTGGTCCTCCATGGTTCTTTTATATAACTGTGGTCCTCCATGGTTCTTTTACATAACTGTGGTCCTCCATGGTTCTTTTATATAACTGTGGTCCTCCATGGTTCTTTTATATAACTGTGGTCCTTCATGGTTCTTTTACATAACTGTGGTCCTCCATGGTTCTTTTACATAACTGTGGTCCTCCATGGTTCTTTTACATAACTGTGGTCCTTCATGGTTCCCTCTTCCAACTTATGAAGTCACAGAGAAAGCAACGATATCAGTAGCTCGTGTGAAACTAAAACGTGATTCTCACATCATTTTTGTCCCTTATCCACCACCGTTTTTCAAGATGGCGCATATTCATGGAGAGCACTCCTCTCTCATGGACATTTATAAGTTAAATTCTAAGCCTATGAATACAATTCAAAAAACATGGTGGAGATAAATATTCTTAAAAAGGTCACATTTGTTATTAGTTAACATGTTTTTGCATATGGAGCAGCTGTAAATATTACACAGGGTGGCTTTAAGCTTTTATCATAAATTGGAAGAAGTAAAGGGTGTATTCTAATAACAGTTTAAGAATGAACACCCAACACGTACGGTTGCAGATTTGTGTTCAACTTGTGTTTTGTCGCACAAAAGTTGTACTCATATAAATCAGGAGTCTCAAACTCAATTCATCTGGGGACCTCTGCTTTAGGCCTTTGGGTCAGGGTTTAGTTTTTACAATATAAATGGTGACGTTGTTTTCCCTGATGAAATACGTTTTTAAATTATGTTTAACATGCCATATTAGCCCAGACTCTCAGTGGAATTGTGTGTCCACTATGGGGCCACACAATTCCTTTTTATTGGCCACAAATGACCCGCGGGCCACATGTTTGAAACCCCTGATATAAAGTATTCTTCACTCTGCATTCTTTACCTCAGCTGTCAACTATGCCTCAACTATACAACAATACATTGAATTGAATTTAGTGTGTTGTAAATAGAGATTTCACAAAAGTGCAGTCTCCATTCATCAATTTTCTTCCCCTTAATCCATTTCTGGGTCGGGGGGATGGCAGTCAGAGCTAGAGCCCTGTACTTGAGCCCTTGGCCCGAGGGCCCCGACGGCCCGACAGCCCGAGGGCCGGGCTTCGGGCCGATGACCGCATAATGACCTCGGACACGGGCCGGGCTCGGGCTCTTCATTTTCAGAGCGGCAGAATACATTTACGAACGCACCCACTGAATATAGCGTTCTATCACGCTGTAGTGTTTGTTGTTCTGTGTAGTGTTGTCATTGACGACACATAGCGTTACTTACAGGTGTGTTGCAGCATCTGGGCATCATACAGCTGTGTATCATACAGATGTTCACTCTGCACCACTCCGCACACACAGAACTCATTGCAACACATCACTACCATGTATAACTCCGCCCTCTAGCTAAGTCTGCGTTCATATCAGTGCGCGGCACTATATACTACGCTAAAACATTGTTATGGGAGGTTACAAAAAAAAAAAAAAAGGCGGGCTTGATGCGGGTTTTGGGCCTGAAAATTGAGAAACCATATCGGGCCGGGCCGGGCTGGGGCGCCACCCCCTCGGGCCAGGGCCGGGCTCGGGCCCAGATAATAGGCCCGTGCAGGGCTCTAGTCAGAGCTGCCCCCAGTACAGAGCACCAGCCCCTCACTGATCCTCCTGCAGGTGGTGAGTCCTTGATTATTCAGCAGGGGCTTAAGTGTCTTGCCAAGGACACAACGACAGCAGTCATCAGTGGGAGTCGTGAAGTAGGTCTTGTGGTGGGCTCAAACCCACGACCTTCAGGCCTAAAGGCCAACGCTCTACCAACTGAGCCACTGTCGCCCCAGCAGTGCAGTCTAATATTTTCAAAATCAATAACAGGGAGCTAGGGACGGTGTTGAGTAATGTTTGTGATTCCAAGCATCAGTACTCACCTGCTGCTCTGTGGGGCTTCCTGTGCGCTGACCTCTGCTGATGCTTGTTCTGCCTGTGCCGCGCCCTCATGGCTGTTCTAGAGTCAGTGATCCAGGCGTGGTACACAAACTGCACAGCAAGAGCTCATCATCATACACTCATCAGGAGCTCCACTAGTGTCTCTGTAGAGCTGTTATCAGGAGTCACACTAGTGGCTCTGCAGAGCTGTCATCAGGAGCTCCACTAGTGTCTCTGCAGAGCTGTCATCAGGAGTCACACTAGTGTCGTTATAGAGCTGTCATCCGGAGTCACACTAGTGTCACTGTAGAGCTGACATCAGGAGTCACACTAGTATCATTGTAGGAGGTACTAGTGTCTCTGTAGAGCTGTCATCAGGAGATAACCTAGGGTCTCTACAGAGCTGTCATCAGGAGGTACTAGTGTCTCTACAGAGCTGTGATCAGGAGGTAACCTAGTGTCTCTGTAGAGCTGTCATCAGGAGGTACTAGTGTCTCTACAGAGCTGTCATCAGGAGGTACTAGTGTCTCTACAGAGCTGTCATCAGGAGATAACCTAGTGTCTCTACAGAGCTGTCATCAGGAGGTACTAGTGTCTCTACAGAGCTGTCATCAGGAGGTACTAGTGTCTCTGTAGAGCTGTCATCAGGAGATAACCTAGTGTCTCTACAGAGCTGTCATCAGGAGGTACTAGTGTCTCTACAGAGCTGTCATCAGGAGGTAACCTAGTGTCTCTACAGAGCTGTCATCAGGAGGTAACCTAGTGTCTCTACAGAGTTGTCATCAGGAGGGAACCTAGTGTCTCTACAGAGCTGTCATCAGTAGGTAACCTAGTGTCTCTGTAGAGCTGTCATCAGGAGATAACCTAGTGTCTCTACAGAGCTGTCATCAGGAGGTACTAGTGTCTCTACAGAGCTGTCATCAGGAGGTAACCTAGTGTCTCTACAGAGCTGTCATCAGGAGGTACTAGTGTCTCTGTAGAGCTGTCATCAGGAGGTAACCTAGTGTCTCTACAGAGCTGTCATCAGTAGGTAACCTAGTGTCTCTGTAGAGCTGTCATCAGGAGATAACCTAGTGTCTCTACAGAGCTGTCATCAGGAGGTACTAGTGTCTCTACAGAGCTGTCATCAGGAGGTAACCTAGTGTCTCTGCAGAGCTGTCATCAGGAGGTACTAGTGTCTCTGTAGAGCTGTCATCAGGAGGTAACCTAGTGTCTCTGTAGAGCTGTCATCAGGAGGTACTAGTGTCTCTGTAGAGCTGTCATCAGGAGGTACTAGTGTCTCTGTAGAGCTGTCATCAGGAGGTACTAGTGTCTCTGTAGAGCTGTCATCAGGAGGTACTAGTGTCTCTGTAGAGCTGTCATCAGGAGATAACCAAGAGTCTCTGTAGAGTTGTCATCAGAAGGTAACCTAGTGTCTCTACAGAGCTGTCATCAGGAGGTAACCTAGTGTCTCTACAGAGCTGTCATCAGGAGGTAACCAAGAGTCTCTGTAGAGTTGTCATCAGGAGGTAACCTAGTGTCTCTACAGAGCTGTCATCAGGAGGTAACCTAGTGTCTCTACAGAGCTGTCATCAGGAGGTAACCTAGTGTCTCTACAGAGCTGTCATCAGGAGGTAACCTAGTGTCTCTACAGAGCTGTCATCAGGAGGTAACCTAGTGTCTCTACAGAGCTGTCATCAGGAGGTACTAGTGTCTCTGTAGAGCTGTCATCAGAAGATAACCAAGAGTCTCTGTAGAGTTGTCATCAGGAGGTAACCTAGTGTCTCTACAGAGCTGTCATCAGGAGGTAACCTAGTGTCTCTACAGAGCTGACATCAGGAGGTACTAGTGTCTCTGTAGAGCTGTCATCAGGAGGTAACCTAGTGTCTCTACAGAGCTGACATCAGGAGGTACTAGTGTCTCTGTAGAGCTGTCATCAGGAGATAACCTAGTGTCTCTACAGAGCTGTCATCAGGAGGTACTAGTGTCTCTACAGAGCTGTCATCAGGAGGTAACCTAGTGTCTCTACAGAGCTGTCATCAGGAGGTAACCTAGTGTCTCTACAGAGCTGTCATCAGGAGGGAACCTAGTGTCTCTACAGAGCTGTCATCAGTAGGTAACCTAGTGTCTCTGTAGAGCTGTCATCAGGAGATAACCTAGTGTCTCTACAGAGCTGTCATCAGGAGGTACTAGTGTCTCTACAGAGCTGTCATCAGGAGGTAACCTAGTGTCTCTACAGAGCTGTCATCAGGAGGTACTAGTGTCTCTGTAGAGCTGTCATCAGGAGGTAACCTAGTGTCTCTACAGAGCTGTCATCAGTAGGTAACCTAGTGTCTCTGTAGAGCTGTCATCAGGAGATAACCTAGTGTCTCTACAGAGCTGTCATCAGGAGGTACTAGTGTCTCTACAGAGCTGTCATCAGGAGCTAACCTAGTGTCTCTGCAGAGCTGTCATCAGGAGGTACTAGTGTCTCTGTAGAGCTGTCATCAGGAGGTAACCTAGTGTCTCTGTAGAGCTGTCATCAGGAGGTACTAGTGTCTCTGTAGAGCTGTCATCAGGAGGTACTAGTGTCTCTGTAGAGTTGTCATCAGGAGGTAACCTAGTGTCTCTAAAGAGCTGTCATCAGGAGGTAACCTAGTGTCTCTACAGAGCTGTCATCAGGAGGTAACCAAGAGTCTCTGTAGAGTTGTCATCAGGAGGTAACCTAGTGTCTCTACAGAGCTGTCATCAGGAAGTAACCTGGTGTCTCTACAGAGCTGTCATCAGGAGGTAACCTAGTGTCTCTACAGAGCTGTCATCAGGAGGTAACCTAGTGTCTCTACAGAGCTGTCATCAGGAGGTACTAGTGTCTCTGTAGAGCTGTCATCAGGAGATAACCAAGAGTCTCTGTAGAGTTGTCATCAGGAGGTAACCTAGTGTCTCTACAGAGCTGTCATCAGGAGGTAACCTAGTGTCTCTACTGAGCTGACATCAGGAGGTACTAGTGTCTCTGTAGAGCTGTCATCAGGAGGTAACCTAGTGTCTCTACAGAGCTGACATCAGGAGGTACTAGTGTCTCTGTAGAGCTGTCATCAGGAGTTAACCATACATATTTGAAAATACAAAGTGCTAACCTGGAACGCAGACTTGTCAGGAGGCGGTGCTGTTTGCTTCTGCTCCTCCTCTCTCTCCTCCTCTGTCTCCTCGTCACTGTCCGTCTCAAAGAGGTAGTAGTCCCCACTGCGGATCACTGACAGCAGGACACAGCAGGACGCAGCAGGACGCAGCAGGACACAGCGGGACACAGCAGGTCACTTACTACATACAGTACATTCCATTTAAACTTCTTGTCGAACTTGTGAAATTCTGAACATTGGGAGACCAAGTTAATCCATCAAAAACAAAGGCAAAATTATGGTCAGTCATAAAATTATTCTTAATCATTGAAACATTAATTCAATTTCAGATCTTAACTTGTTTTCATATTATTGCTTACAAAAATCACAATTGTAAACCGCTTTGAGACTCCGATGTGCAGTGAAAAGGCGGTATATAAATAAAGATTACTTACTTACTAATTTGTTTGTGTGTTTGGCCATTCTAGTATGTATGCATTAGTTACAACTTTTATATACGTCTCTGTATAATTTGTTTAAATGGTTACTTTTTTTTTTTTTTAAACGGGACAGTGCTCATTAATCAACATTATGCAATGCAAATGTGCCCAAGTTAAATGAACTAAACACGGTTAATTGTCATTGAAGGAAAGCAAAACCGATGCATTTGCCGTAGTTAGTGGTCACAAGTGTGTGTCTCCTGTAATGGCAAAAATGACATGAACATGGTTAAAGCATAGTGGGTGAATTGTGATGATTAACAAATGGTTCAGAGGGTTTTGTTTTATGGCAGGAAGGTATTTGGGACGATGTTTGAGGAACTTAAGATGCAGTTTGCAGTGAGTTTAGATATTAGACAGTAATTGACCGTCTCCTCTGATGAGACCGTTTCCCTTATCACGTGGATAAGGTGATCTTGGAATGTCCTGTTCCTGTGTCCTCTGCCCCTGTCCTTAATCCCCTTGTTTCTCTGCTCTTCATACCTTGAGTTACCTATTTTGAAGTAATCAGTGCAGAGATGTGGCATGTGTTCTACCTGTGGCCATTGGCCAATGAGGGACCGGACCATTCTGATAAAGCTTGTGTGAATCCCATTGTGTGTCGGAGAGACTGATGCAGGGTCCGAGGAGCGGACTGCAGAAGCTTTCTCCATCTGCAAATGCTTGTTCTTATCATGTACTTTTTACTTTCATTAAACCACACAAAATGCAACTCTGTTTCCATGGATCATTAACACTCCACAAGCCACTTTGTGGTGCTCTTTTTGAACAAATCGAACAAGGGTGATTCTCAAATGGGCTCAGGTACTGTGTCCCACTGTTGGGACGCTCCATAGGAGAAGTCGACCTGGCCAAAAGCAGTTTTCCTGCGAGGGAGGATACAGTCTTCCCTGACTGACCCTGGAGTTACTCTGCCTGTACCCCATCTAAAAATCACAAACTCGCTTAGCAAGGGGGGGTTTTAATTTTGTATATTAAACAATTTGTTTTAATGTTGTTAAACAAATATTATCCCAGCTTAATAATTTGTCAAATATAACAAATACGTAAGTAAGAGCTGAGTTATTACTGTTAATGCTTTGAATGAGGATGGACCTCTCTTTTTTTATATTTCTGTCTGAAAAAATTACGTAAAGATAGATCAAAATTAATCCATGTGAAAACAATTGATGGAACCAAACTGCTCTAGCACCAAGAATGTATTTTAATAAAAAGTTTGTGAATGAGGACATTTAAAACCTTATTACTGAAACATCCCCATCCAATGGCAGACATGGGCAGACGTATGTTGCTGGCGAGGGCCAGCAACAGACGTCAAATGTCAAATGTTAGAACTAAAGACAATTTTCAATAATGACATATGTACATTTTTCCTGTTTTTGTATAAATTGTGTCTAAATTTGTATGTGTGTCCGCTTTGACGTTGCTGCGCGCGTAGTGAGAAGCAGTGAGTGGGCGCTGTGGTGATGTCGCACAGTAACTCACTTGAGGCGTGGTTGACCCAGGGCTTCCACCACTTCCCATTCTTCTTGCGTTCCTTCTGGCCTGCTTTCGCCTCAGCCTCTGTGGCCTCTTTGTTAAAACTCATCAGGCTCTCTTTGCCTCGGCGAAACTTCTGCTGACGACTTTTAATTCGCTCCATCCTATAAAAAATAAATAAAAAAAGAATAATGAGGAGACACTAAATGAACTCATAGCCAAAATCATGAGAGATTTTTACTGTCTCTTGAGAAGGTCCATAGAGTTCTTCTCCACCTGTAGTCTGGCTCGCACGGCTTTCACAGTTGAGGCTTCAAATAGCTCTGCGCCTCTGAAAACACACACACAATTTTACAATCCCACAGTCCACTACTGACTGTGTGGCTTTATAACAATAATTTTTTGAGTCATTTGAAGGAACAATTAATAACGCAAAGGAGAAAATTGCGCACACGAGCAGATCAAATGAGCTTCCTCTGCAGGGCGGCTGGACAACAATATGTTGGACTACATCCAACTTAGCCTGTGTTTGGTACAATTAGGGTAAGACCCGCACACATTACATAGCCTTCAATTTACATATATTACCCTGCACATCTGGTGTTAATTGGAGGTGAGGTTGGGAAGGCTCAGTCACGTGGGAGGAGCTCAGAGTAGAGCCACTGCTTCTCCACGTTTAGGGTGTGTTTATCAACTGGTCGGGAAATGAGCAGGAAGAACTGTGCGTGGAGAAGGAAGTCCGGACGGCTGCTGCCTTTGCAAACGGCCCCAGATAAAGTGGAAGTGAAACGGTTGTTGATCTGGAGTGGATTGTGTCTGATTAACATCGTTCTGAAACTACTTGAACTCCCTGAGCTGTCATTTTGACTGGTCACATTCAAACCATTGGGATTCTGAAAAATAATGTTTGACTACTTTCAAGTCCATAGAAACTCTTGTCTTTTGGTTATTTTTTTTGTTTTTTTATTTTCTTTGAAGGTAGAATTACTGATAATTTCATTGACTTTTTTTTTGTTTTTGTTTTTCCATGCCGACGCAGGAGGGACACTTTAAACATTCTACAACATGGGCATTTATCAACATGTGTTCTACATTCTTTATGTGTTTTAACTGTTGATTCTCTGATCTGTGTTGGTGATTTCAATGGTTTTGTTAAGTCCTCTGAGATGACTGCTGTTTGATTTAGGGCTATACAAGAATAAATTGTATTGTATTGATAAAATAATATCACAGAAATAAACTGCATATTGACACAGAAAAAGTCACAAAGTTATGAAGATCAACAACGCACAGCTGAGTAATTAATTATTACTGTTAGGAAATTGGTTTATTAGCATATTCATAAATGTATGTATCTTCATATAGAATATGTTTGGGACCATTTCAGCACTCAATGGCAGGAAATCACTTATCTAAGTCATGAGGCCAATGTGACGTTGGAGACTGCTGACTTCACCGTTCTCTGGGGTCAATGGGACTGTGGACGTCTAGAAGGACAATGAGAGCCTGTAGAGTGAGACCCTCAGGCTCAGACTCGGACTGGTCTACAAGATGATTGAATGACATGTTTATTGATGACATCCTGTGACTTGACCAATCCATGACGCTATAAGAAGCTGCGCCTCCTTCATTCATTGTCTTTTTGCTTTCCATTTAGCAGAGACCCGGACTGGTGCAGTCCACATGTCTGCCTGTGTGCTTATGTCCAGATAAACTGTAGTTTTTGAACCAGCGCTGACAACATTTATTAAAGACATTATATTGTTGAAATGTGACTGAAGTGTGAATTGTGTTTTTTTCACAATTTCCAAAAATATTAGCTGTCAAATTGACTGCTCTGGGAGTTGTACTGATAACCATGTAAATCAATTAGACCATTAGTACCTGATGAGGTGTAGGTAAGGTGATATTATATTAGGTAATGTGTTTGGATGCATACTCACGGTTTTGGATCAGCTGTAGTAAGTACAGCTTCACCCAAACATTATTACATTGTGTAAGAATGTATTTTTGTTTGTTTGAACTTCCAGTCTAAATACAGACCCTAAGGAATTCACAAAAATATCATGTCACATCTGCCAGCGATGAACCACGGAGCCAAGCGGGTTCCAGGAGCAAGAGACAAACACATCTATCAGTCGGCTCAGTGCCAAAGGTGAGTTGAGCGCAAGTTCGGCTGGTTTCCCCAAAAGAACATTAATTAAAATAACTCTTCCACCTCCCTCCCTGGTGTTTGTAAAGATTATATAAGGAACTTCTGAAATGATGTACATCTCAGTGTCACAGCTTTATTGGCTCTGATTATTACAGATTCCTAATGACTGTTCATGCAGAATAACCCTCAGGCTAATTCTAATTCTTATCCAAAAAAAAAATCATTCATAATTTTACATTGTTTTAGACTGCAAAGTGAAAGTGAAAGTGACAGTAATCTAAAGTAGATGTTTTAAATCACACTACTAATGAATCGATGTTTTCCTCCACATTTAGACTTGTCTGAGCATCATGGGGCAAAGAGGCGGTGGTTGTACCTGGATGCTAGCAGCTGGGTGTTGTGCAGATCCAGCAGGACGTAGAGGAAGTAGTGGCTCCTGAAGACTCTCCTCTGGAGCAGCAGGAAGCAGAAGCAGATGCCATCCCAGATGATCCCTGCCTCATCATTAGGGAGCTCACAGTGTTTGGAAGTCTGCTCCGCTGCATACAAGAAAAGAACTCTATGAGGTTAAGAAACTGTTCACAGAGGGCCGTATTACTGAGCTGTGGTCCCGGATTATGGCTCAGTGAAAGGAGGACATCCATTTAACTTGGGATCCAGATTTTCGGAGCAGCATTTGTATCTCTGCATTTAACCAAGACTTTTTGTTGAGCACAAACATAGTTGCAATTTTGACAGTAAGTAAGCAAGTAATCTTTATACCGCCTTTCACAGACCAGAGTATAATTATTATTTTTTGGCATTTGTCTCTCACTCCACACAGAGATGGGAGCGGGGTCGCCAGTACAGGAGGCGCATGCCAGACCTATTGTACAGTACATGTTTTTAGTGGTAGGGGAAACCGGAGTACCCGGAGGAAACCTACGCAGACACGGGAAGAACATGCAAACTCCACTCAGAAAGCACAGCAAAATATATATATATATAATAATAATAAAACTTTGCATAATGACAACTCACAAGAATGAAGATTTTACCATCAACGTTGGGGATCATTTAATTCAAATGTGATTCCTTCTGGTCTCAGTCTGCATGTGTACTGAGACTTGGTGTGATACTTTCCCTTCACAGTTTCCTGTTACTTGCGGAAAAGTAATGTTGTCACACACAAAAAATATGTAAGTCCAAAATATTGTCTCATAATAATGAGCTCTTTCGTATAAACCTGACCAACTGTGCAAAAGTTCAGGGTGTATTAGTATTTTCGAGAGACTTGAAGCAGAGCACATACGTTTACTGTAGCCTTTGATGGTGCAGGCCAGGCTGAAGAGCTGGATGAGCCAACAGTGGTTCACTACCAAAGACTTAATCAATCCACAGGCCAGGATCTGAAACACAACACAGATCCTTAGGAGTCTGGGGCCCCCAATTTACAGCATAAAAGTTAGCAAAACATTCAAGATATCAATATTACCTCATTGGCATAAAATACATTTTGACATGTTAAACGCTTGTATTTTTTTTTTTCAGACAATTAACAAAATATTACCATCAAACTTGGAAACACAAAATCTTGTATTAAGATGTATTCTTATAATTTCTAGTCAAATAAAAGATCCTGAGATGACATAGAACTAGTTGTACTGTCCCTCTTGAAGCTTCTTTATTACAGGTCCCAAATCTGATCTTCAGCTAAATGTTCCTCAGCGGTCCAAGCTCCATTCTCCAACGGCCATTCAGTCGGTCAGAGACGACCCCCAGAAACCAGTTATACTTATAGTAAATGATTCACTAGAGCCCAAAACTCAAGGACCTCAGCTTCACAAAGCCATTATTGATTTTCAAATTTACTAAAGATAATCATAATAATCCATAGGAGTTAGAGTCTCACTGTAAATTTTAAGTGGATTTTATGTCTTCTTTATGAATGTTGTCCCATGCCTCTCCCATGCTAATAAACCATTATTTTGGATGATAAAAATGATATAAATACATACAAAACTACATATAAATGATGAGTTGGTTCCAGTCCTACGACGGAGCACAGGGCTCACCCGGTTCAAGGTTTAAGGTTTAATTTGGTTGCAGCAGCAGAAAGGCACTCATATACACAAGAAAACAGGACTACAATGACTGGTTTAAAATACCAACAGGAACAGGGATAAAAGAGTGCTCTCTCTCTCAATGGATTTACTCATTTCATTTACTCTTACACTACTGATTTTCAACGACATATACAAATTCATCAACAGCGTCTGCGTTTGTCCCAGCTGCAGGTGAAGGAGCAGCGTGGAGGAAAGTTCTCATATAAACCTGCGTTCCTGGTACAACAACAAATTGCTCTTATGCTCGGTTGTAAGATCCGAAAAGCTCAGTGACCAGAACTCCTCCAGTGAAGCTTCCCCTGGAGAACACCGTCAGACAGGACTGTTTTACATTGAGCTGTTCGAAATAAAAATACGTTGTAAAATAATTTTCATTTCATCATGGAATTAAACTCAACAACAAAAAATGCATTCATAACTAAACTTGGTAGACAACTACTTCCATAATCGACGAGTTTCAAGGAATCCATCTTGTTACAGACAGACTTACAGACAGCACATTCTTCATGGTGATCACAAAGACATTGTATCCGATCAGACAGTCCCAGTACAGCAGGATGGAGCTGAGCGGCTTCAGCAGTAAGTCTCCGCCAACCAGCAGGAAGTAGAAGCAGGCCACAAGGTAACCCATGCAAAACACGCTGATCCTGGACACAAACAAATATGAAACACAAGGGACATTGACTTGGTCCACTTTGAGAGCGTGAAAATGCCCAAACTGAGAAGAGCATGTGGAGTCCGGCCGGTGTGAAAATCCTTTACGGTAAGAGTTTGAGCTGTTGCACGCTCTGCTGTTTCCTTAAAGTTTTCCTTGTAAAAAATATGTCCAAACGGTTTATATGGCTCTACCCTGATGATAAACCTGCTAATTCATTATAATGTGACTCCCTCTCGTCCTGGGTTCTCAAGCTGTGACTTTAGATGACTTATCTTGATAGTAGGAAATTTGTTTTGACTTTTTTATTTTGTTATGTTCCTGTCCTCCCCGTGGTGAACAGCTGACATGGCTCCAAACTGCATGCCAACTTTTCCTGCTGTTGTCCCAGGTTAATATTGCATGGATAATAAAAGTCCATAAAAAACGACAGAGGTCTGGTTTACCTGGTGGTGCCCGTGATGAAGATGACGGTGAGGACGAACCAGAACATGTAGCAGAAGATGATGACCTTCAGAGTGTCCAAATACGACCTACAGGCACAGCAAAGAAAAGGCTTTGAGCACACGTGTTGTGGACTTTAAGTGATTACATTGTTAGCTCATCAAAAGCCGTGGCTCACACTCATTTCAAAACATGAGAGCGGTTTTTAGGGTTTAGGGTCTATCTAACCAACTTCTCTATATTGGGAAATGTTTGGCTCATCTTTGTCATCTTCTAGGGTTTTCATTCTTTCGGTATTTTTGTTGTGTTTGAGCATGAGATTTTCCTCTTCCGAGTACTGTCAGCGCACTGTCCAGTACTCCTTCCAGGGACTCCTTGGCTCGTAGGCTGCCATAACAGTGAGAGACTTCTTCCGGCCCTATAGCTGTTTCCCCAAAACTGACAGGACCCTCTAAGGAAGAGTGTTGTCTGCAGTTGCTGAGTGAGGAGGAAACCTGCACATCATGAAGTCAGGCACAGGGTTTGAGCGAAGGCGACGGATCAGGTCTGGGTCCTGCTCTGGGTCCAGCTCTGTGTTGTCCCCTGCCACGTGCTGTACGTGAGGCTGCAGCTCATCTTCAAACACTTGGCCCTGGAGAGAAGCTCCGAGGAGAAGCAGGAAGTCATCTGCACACACACACACACACACACACACACACAGTGTTAAATTACAGGATCAAGTTTAAGTTTTAAGACCTTCTAAATGTCTTAATGGTGTTGCGCCTTCTTATCGTACAAACCTTCTCTAAATGGCTCATACCTGGATTTACAATGACAATATCCAAAAATTTTAAATCCCCAAGATCATATGGTGAGTGAGCCAGAGCAAGTTGAAGCAAAATGTTATTCACGAGTACCCTCTTGAAGCGGTGAGTACCCACTAGCTCACCGCTTCATTGAGCTAGTGGGTTAGCATTGTTCATCTATATACAGTATAGTCTATGGTTACACCTGCAATCGACTCAGGTTTTCACACACATTTTATTCTCTGACATGGTTCTCCTAAGAGCCCAGGTAAGCCAAGACACAACCCAAAGTCCTCCACACAAGCAATAATTGTAGACTTTCTATGACTCTGTGGTGGCATCAGCCTCTGGTACGACGTGGTCTGCAGGAGCAGCAGCATCACAGAGAGAGACAGGAAGAAGCTGGACAAGGTCATTAGGACCAACATCTATGCACCACCTGCAGCTCTGGAGAGTAGCTTCAGTGACAGACTTATTCACCCTCGCTGTGTGAAGGAGAGGTTCCGCAAGTCTTTCCTTCTTGCTTTTGTCAGATGATGAAACGGCTGAGTCTGTACATGTCGAATCTTCTGTAAATAGTAATTAATACAATCATTCTGCAATTTCAGAATGTCCACTGAATGTCACTTAATCTACTTAATTAATCCTTATCGTGTCATATATTTACTATATTTTTTTCAAAAGCAGTGTGATGATGTGCAGCGGGGAGTCTTTTTCCACTTACAAAGCAAAAACATGGGGTTGGGGGGAGTGAGGTGATCTGGGAGGAACAGCCATTTCACCACGTTAGAGTCCAGACCAGTTAAAGGCGCTCTCCAAGGGTAATCTGTAAGAGAGGTTCACGAAAAGGCATTTACACCAAAGCAAGACCAGGAGGATGAAGAAGACATGTCATATTATGTCACATGTCTTGTGGATACCATCTTCATTATCAAAACAATAGATTTGTTGTTAGTAAAAGTAGGTTTTTGCTCCAATTCTTTATTTTCAGCACTGACATTAAAGTTTGATGTCCACTAAGGGGCTCCTGTCGCGTGTTTGAGACCCCTGTTGAAAGGATATCATTGAAAATTATCAATCTTGTACAAAGTCATAGAAAAAAGAAATATAACAGTACTTTTTCCAAGCGTGAAATCGATCTGTCGTCTGAGGATTCATTACAGTTCAAGGAGTTTGAGAACAGCATTAGAAAGATGTGGCAGGGTGCATAATTTTGTCAGATGTTTCTGATACATATAAACAAGGAAATAGCTTAAAACAAACCAGATCAGGAACATGATGAAATATATTGACTTATTTTTTCAAGTTGAATTTGGATGATTTTTCCAAATTTCCCCAGCCCTGGGTTATATAGACACTTTTAGACCCTAATCTAGAGTAATTTTCTTCTACTTTTAATCAATGTGGCAGATTTGACCCAAGGGTAGCACAAGGAACGTATAGTGTAGGCTGGTCTTCACTAAAGAATATCTACCCAAGACTAATTAGAGTCTATATTAATACATGGCATACATTGTTTCATTTAAGTGTGCTTCATTATACAATATATTATTGTATATGGAGTGAAATTAAATTCCCCATATGTTTTGCGGCATGTAATTGGTGTTTTTAGTTTTTTTTCTCGGCTGGAGAGCAGGACGCACCGGTGCAGGAGGCAGGGGGGTACCCGATGCACAGCACGTACTGCACACACAACATGGCCGACAGGAAGGAGCAGTAGCGCGGCCAGAGCACAGAGATCACACTCCTGCTTCGCTGCCACATGATGCTGATGAGAGCCAGGGCATGTCCGACCGCAAACACGTCCATCCTCTGACCAATCACATTCACCGCCAGCAGGAAGCACGTCTATAAAAGGACATAGAAAGACATTTGTGCATTTAGCAATGTTGAATCAAAATGCAAAAAGGAGAAATGGGAGTGAGTCGAAAAATAAATTATTGAAAGCTGGGGTAGATCATTTCCATTCACTTCATTGTCACTACATTGTGGTGACGCTGGTGAATATTTTCCCGTCTCGTGACTTCTTGCTCAGGATGTGCGAAACATTTCATTATCAAATCTGACGGAGTCTGTTCATTGCTATTCATTTGTTGTCCCTGTTGTAAACAGACCCACCCCAAAATCTGACCTGGTCCTAACGACTGGTTCTCCAATCCTCCTCGGCCTTGACAGGAACCCCACTCTTTCCACTTACCCACCAAAACATCAATGTATGTTTGGATTTGGACACATTCACACATGTAGCAGAGTTGTGTGAAAAGTCTGCAGTGTAAACAGTGAAGAGGAAGGGATCCAGAACGGTACCCTGTGGTGCTCCAGTATTGCTCACAACAGTCTCAGACACGCTCTTCCCTAACCTGACATACTGTGACCTCACAGTGAGGTAAGTGTAAATCCAGTTGGTAAAGATGGGATAAACTAAATTTTCTCAAGTCTATGTTTGTTATTTCTTTTGTAAAAACGTTTTTGATTAATCCTTGTTCTATCCTCAGGTCAAAATGACCCGCCACAGATGACTAAAAGTAGAAGGAAATTAACGTAAAATAGGGTCTAAAAGAGACTAAATGACCCAGGGCTGGTTGAGTTAATTTAGCTCGAAATCACTGTGGCGAGGTTAGCACAAGGTTTAAGAGTGCTCATACAGATGAAGACAAAAATGGTACACTTCCAATTTAACACTGTATTTAGCAAAAGCAATTGTAGAGGCTCAGTGGCCCTTTGTCAAAAATGTCAAAAATGAGTCCAATACTCAAAAATATGCACAAAATTCCATTCTTTATTTCCATGTGCTCAATAACGCTGTCAAAAGACTGTTCCTCCTCACACATGCAACACCTGCTGCACTAATTACCTAGCCTGGCTCTGCCAGACCCTTGTAGTTCCGCCATGCTCCACCAGAGGCGTTTGGCTGAAACACATGGGTCTGGTATCGACGCCATAGCGAACGCCTTCCCCAGATTATTTTTTAATCGACCAATCAGGATTGCCGGTGTTACGTGGGGTTTGCACTGCCTTCTCAAGCTTCTCTCATGCAGCAGCGAGAGGAATCCAAGATGGCGGACGTAAAGTCCGCGAATCTTTTTAAAAGAGTAAATACGATCAAATTAAGACACGGATGTCACTTTTAATGCAATTTGAGGCGAGATGTTGATGGTTCTATGTTGATATATGTGTGTTTTAAGAGTCAAATGTTCCTGTAAAGTTTGGTTGAAGCACTGGTTCAGTGTTCCTGTTTACACACTATGCAGCAGGTTGCCAGGTTTGGTGGTTCCCGCATATTTTTTTCCAAGAGACTTGTAGGTATTAAATAAACAGAAAGACAATTAACAGAATCATGAAAGCCCAAGTTGATTACATTACGTTTTTAGCCAAAAAATCATACTGAGTGTTTTTTTGTGTGTGGGTATTCTCGCGGATTTTGGGTTGGAAAATCTTGCTGGGATTTGGCAACCTATGGGAGCCGTGTGCTTCGATGTGAGTGGTTGAAAGCAGACTTCATTCAAGATAACGGACAAGTGGTCTATCCAATCACATACAAGGATTTTTTTTTTTACAAGGCCCTGCCTTCTGAAATCCAACCACTATGGCTCAGTGCTAGACTAATGTGTGAAGTGCAGCCAACTACATGGGTCTGGCCAGAGTCAGGCTACTAATTACAGGTGTGCCTATGTCCAGCACTAGTGACATCTAGAGGCTGGAGGTACATTTTGGCCACCACAGCAATAAACCCAAATCTGCAACCGTGACATGCTCACAAGAGTAGCGTGTGCATGCTCACCTCCAGGCCAAACTTGTAGAAGAAGTAGTTCAGGAAATATTTGGTGCAGCTGAGAAGGCCGTCATCGAGGTGACGCCTGGTGATGTCATCAAAGAGCGTCCGGGTGGGGGGCGGGCTTTCACCATGACGCAGACGGTACAACTCCTGATGTCTGTACACGGTCACCTCAAAGGCCAGCAGAGCCAGCATGGTGAGGTTACTCTGGGGACAGAAGGACACATCACACACAGCTCCTGAGGAGGAGAGATTTTATTTTGTCAATTTATCCTTCCATGAACTGAAATATATAAATAAGGGATAATATGATCACTTCGATGTGGCCCGCGACTGTATTCCAACATTTTTTAGGATATTTTTTTTATTTTCATTTTTATTTTAAAATTGTACTAATTTTTGTATCTCATTATTATTTTCTCTGTCATTTTCCTGTCTTGCAACATTTTTTTTATTTATTTTTCTATAATAATAATCAATGATTCTTCTGGCCAACCTGGAAAAGCCATGTTCCAGCTTCTTCGACTCTGGCAGAAGATATCAAGGAGGACGTCTGCTTTCCACAAGCTATAATCAGTTTAAACAGAGCACTTTATGATCTTGCCTTTGAATTGAAACTGTTTAAGTTGATGGATTTCACAATGTTTCCTATTTGTTTGTTTATTTCTGTACTTTTAACCTTGTTTTATTCATGCACTTGTCTTGTGCACACTGGGGACATTTGTGGGTGCATTCCAATGTGGTTTTACTGCAAAAGGCAATTAAAGGAGTCTGAATCCGATTTAATTTTCTCTTTGGGGGTCTCGGGCCCTCGAGGAGACTGTCTGGTAAAACTCTGGCCCTCTGACAAATATAGTTGATGACCCCTGACTTACTGTATAATACATAAAAAGTAATCTCTAAAATATGCAGTGTGTTTCTGAAGTGTTTGATGTGTTGCGTGTGAGTTACCAGTAGATAATCCAGGACTCTGCCTTTGGTCTTCCTTAGCCCCACCCACTGGGCAGGGTCCACAGGGCCAGAGTACAGGGCGGACTTGGACAGGTCCAGGCTGGAGTTCACCGGCTGTGACACAATGAAGGGACGCACTTATGAGAGGTAAGATGTTCTTATGGTTTGCAGTGTCATTTACAAAGTCACAGTTGATTTTAGAGCACTCAGTTTGAGTCATACATTCTCTTACATATGGTGAGGGTATGTATCCCCCTGACTCTTCTGACCACAGCTACTGGGACGCGGTTGCTGATGGTACTTACATTGTTCGTCCATTTTCTTGTTGTTTTTTATTCATGATACAACATTGTTCCTCCACAAACTTCCATCTAACTGTTCTGTTGTTACACTGTTAAACTTGTTACGCTATGATGCTGAAAGAGCTGTTTTCTGCCTTTTTAAACATAAGTATTGCCACCTATTCATACTTATGCATACTGTAAATTCTGCACAGGACTGTAGAGGAGCTGAGGAGCTCCTTCAGTGGACGACTGAGGCACCCTCAGTGTAGGAAGGGCGCTCCTTCTTTAAAGGAGGGCCTTTATCCCCACCGCTGTCAGACTGCACAATAAGTCACTTTAGCTCACTGTATATGATTGACACTATTTCTGATTGCCACTTTTAAATTGCCACTTTTTTTATTGTATAATAAAATAATATAATATATCCTGCATTTAACATGTTTGCACATTTCCTCCCTTTTTGCACAATCTTGCGTGTTCCTATCCATGCCAAATGTGACATGTAAATGTATCCTTTGTGAGATCAATAAAGCATATCTTATCTTATCTTATCTTGATATTTGCTCTTTTATTGCTCACAGCAGTAGCCTAGAACCTTCTGATGTGCCTACTTTATACTAATTGCTACAGCTTTCTTACTTACCATGGAGCAGTTGGAGGAGTAGTGGCCTGGCTGCACAGCGCTCAGCTGGTACAGCATTTTGCAGATGATCACCACACTGGTCCAGACCGTGCAGACAGAGGACAGCAGGGGGCGCCAGCGTCTACACGGCAGGCTCACAGCCACACACAGCACGAAGAGGAGGTTGAACACACACACCTACCCACACACAAGACAACACAACATACACCATGATGTCTGCCTTTAAGATAAAAGTTTTGCCTCAACATTAGTTTTGGGAATATCTAGTTTGATGATGCTCTTTATGAACGGTGTGCCTTCATTTACACTACACAATGCTAGCAGAATGCGATATCACCATTCCACCAAACAGATGGGGAAGCTAATACTGGCAATGACTAAAAACAACATAAAGTAGATTTTTCTCTTGTGTCTGAACTGTGTTCTCCAAACACAGAGCCACGAATGACTTGCTCCTTTTCATTTTTTTTCCTCCTGAAGCATTCATAAGTACCTCTTTGACGGACACCCAGATGATGTAGGCCGACACAACTTTGACAATGTGCAGTTCCAGGAGCCACCACAGAAGGCGCTGGAGCTTCTGCAGGGAAAGGAGGAAGCGCAGGAAGAGCACGGAGAGGCGGTCCACCACCAGACGCCACGACACCAGCACTGGAACATTAACAGATTTTTCACAAGCTTCTGTGCCCAGACCCTCTCAACACACTTTGTTGAGCTCCATCAGGTAGATCCTGAGGCCATCCCAGGCCAGCTGCGGCATAGAGTCCATCTAGTTTCCTGGCTCTTGCCAACATACCGACATGTTCTCTCACCATCTCAGCTGGCGTCTATCTGCTGCACACTTTTGTTTGGACTGGTCCCATGGATGGATATAACCATATTTGGGCATTCGTCTGGTCCTCCCGGTTCTGCGCAGTGTACGAGCTCCCATGCGGGAGTTGCATGAGCACAGAGGGGCTCGGCCGCACTCTGACCAATCAGAGACTGCTGATTGGAGCAGCGCTAGAGCGGGAGGAAAACCAGCAGAGTTTGTGGAAAAAAGGCTTTAAAGAAGAAAAAAAAATCAGGATGACAAGGGAAACTAAAAGCTCTAAAAAATCCGACCTGAATGAAAGCTGAAGGTTATCTAAAAGCTGAAGTCGAGCCGTTTCTATGGGGAACATTTCTCATCTCCAACAACGATGAGTCCGCCTACAGGAGGGAGGTGGACCGACTGGTGTCCTGGTGCAGTGGTAACAACCTGGAGCTGAACGCCCAGAAGACAGTGGAGATGATTGTGGATTCAGGAAGAGCACTGTCCCCCCGTCCCCACCCTCCGTGATGGACTCCCCCATCACTTCTGTGGAGTCATTCCGTTTCCTGGGCACCACCATCACCCAGGACCTCAAGTGGGAGCCGACCATCAGCTCCCTCATCAAGAAGGCCCAGCAGAGGATGTACTTCCTGCGGCAGCTCAGGAAAACCAAGCTGCCTGCACAGATGTTGGTGCAGTTCTACACGGCCATCATCGAGTCCATCCTCACCTCCTCCGTCACCGTGTGGTTCGCTGGAGCCACAGTCAGGGACAAGCAGAGACTACAGCGCATTGTGCGCTCTGCAGAGGAAGTGATTGGCCGCAGCCTTCCATCGCTGCAGGACCTGTACGTCGCACGAGCTCGAGGCCGGGCTGGTCGTATCACAGCCGACCCCTCTCACCCTGCACATGGACTATTCCAACCACTCCCCTCAGGCAGGAGACTGCGGTCCATCAGGACTAGAACCTCCCGCCACAAGAACAGTTTCTTCCCCTCTGCTGTTGGACTCTTGAACACTTCTTAACCTGTCCCCCCGCCCTTTATAAAGTCACTTTACTGCCCATCATACGTCACTTTACTTCACTGTACTGCTGTCACCTTACATTGTGTGCACCATGTGCACTTGTATATTGTAAATAGTAACTGTAACTCTATTTTAAATTTAAATTTATTCTTTAGAAGTGTTTTTATTCTTATTTTTATTATCTCTTTCTGACTGTTGCACTGAGCCAAAGCAATTTCCAAGTCTGTGACCTCCTGTTACTTACGTGGCAATAAAAATGATTCTGATTCTGATTCTGATTTTGAACATTTCTGGGTGGCCCACGTGAATTAGTCTTATTTAGTCTGCAGTACTGTGAGAATCCCCTGAGCACATGGGTCCTTTCAGCTCCAAGCTAGTAACACCCTATCCAGATATTATAACAGATCCATGCAAAGGACTCAGTTCAGTATTTCATACCTCAGCATATACTCAATGCTCACCCAGTAAAACCTCAACATAACTCTGGTCCCCTATTGGCCGAGGACCCAAATACTGCATATGCAGCCCCGGTAGTGATATCCAGGAAACAATGGCGTCTTGACCCGGGACCCGGGACCCGGGGATAAAAAGTCAAAACATCTTTCCCTGACCTTAATGTAAGCAAAGGCTATAAAACAGTTTGATGTTTTTTCTGTACAAATTCTCACTTCAGTTGGTCTGCGTGTTCACACTGAGCATGTCCTCACAATATTGTGGCCCTGAAAAGTTTGCTGACCCTTTAGTATTGTATAGTAGTGTATCTTTGAATGGTGAAGATGTGATGTGTGAGTGTGATGTCCGACCTGCGATGCGGTCAGACAGGGAATGCAGCTCTTCCTCCGGCTCTGGACTCTCCAGACTCTTCTGGGGGACTTTGCTCTCGGTGCAGTTGTACAGACCTCTGTCCTCTGACAAGTCCACCAGGCTGCCCTCGGAATGCACCAGCCTGCACACACACACAAACACAAACACACACGCGCACACACAAACACAGACACAGTCAATGCATGTGTGTGTTATTGCATCTTTATTATTATTATTATTATTATTATTATTATTATTATTATTACTAGCTTATAGCTGTCCCACCCATGGGCACAGGGGGCGCTGTGGTACTTCAGACTAAATTCACGTGGACTACCCAGAAAAAAGTCCCATAGAACTCAATGTAAACTAAAACAGCTCGACCTCAGCTGACAGAGAACCTACAGCTTTCACAAAGGTCAGATTCAGATTCATTTTATTAGCCATGTGCAGTATAAAAAATACATTGGAATACATTCGCAAAAAAGGTACTCTGTGTGCACCGACAGAATAAAGAGCACGATACAATGTAATATAAAATACACATACACTGAAAATAAGGTCGGATTTTGTGGGGATTTTTGTGTCCCTTGTCATCCTGAACTTTTTTAATTCTTAAATCCTTCGGTTTCCTTCCCGCTCTAACTCCCGCTCTACCGCTGCTCTGATCAGCAGCTCTGATTGGCTCAAAGCGCGGCCGAGCCCCTCTGTGCGCGTACACGAGAGCCACACACGCGTATTTGCCGCAATGCATCATGGGAGCTCCTCCACTGCGCAGAAGCGGGAGGACCAGATGATGCCCAAATATAGGCGAGTTCTGCTAATCTCCCGGTCCCCGTGAAGTCCCATGTGCTACTGAGCACAAGCCATTCATTTGAATAGGGCGCCATCTTGGATCACCGGGGCTTGGTTGGCACACACACATACCGAAGTTAATCTTGTTCAAGGGCATCAAATAGTAGAAATAATGATGAATACTGTGTGTTGTTTGAGGGAGTGTTTAGTACCTGGTGATGGTGCTGTTGTGCGTGTCCACCACAGTCTGCAGGTCTGTGAGCTGGAGGAACGGCTCGTGGAAGTAATGGAGGTGGATCACACACACCTGCAAGCAACACATGCGCTTAGGGATGTCACATTCAGTCGATCATTGAAATGGTTGTCAACTAATTGAGGTTTAGATCAGATAATTAGTTAACAACCCAATGTGTAACAGTCCTCTCTTTGTTCTCAGCGGCAACATCACTGGAACCAAGTTTTGATCAAATGTAGAAAATATTTTGGATTTAACAACTCATTGATTCATTGAAACATTAACCAGCCAACTAATCATTTACCAAATTAATTGTTAATTATAGCCACAAGCGGAAATGGACAACCCTTGACTAACTGCACTCCACCTGCTGGTTACGAGGCGCTATCACAGCCCTATGTTTTACTTCACACATGAGGACTTTAATTGTATTAAACACAACCAATTATATACATTATAAAGACGATGAGGCTTGGCTAAACAAAGACATATACATTCATTACAGCCATTTGAGTTTGGTTGTCGAAATGAGTGCACTTTTGAAAATGTGAAAAGATTATATTTATATTATAGTTTGCAAAATCCGCTGCTCAAAAAACGTTTAGCATTTTAAAACAACAGCCTCGTTGGTGAAACTTTGTTGGTGGAAAGAGGTTTTTGAAGACATCTCAAAAAGAAACCAAGAGGACAATTTCCAGTGAAGTGCAACGATAGAATCACAGACTCTGTTCATGTCTGTTCATCCATCCATCCATCCATTTTCTTCTGCTTCATCCGTTGTCGGGTAGCGGGGGCAGCAGTCTCAGCAGATACGCCCAGACTTCCCTATCCACACACACCTCCTCCAGCTCGTCCGGGGGGACCCCAAGGCGTTCCCAGGCCAGCTGAGAGACACAGTCCCTCCAGCGTGTCCGGGGTCTTCCCCGGGGTCTCCTCCCGGTGGGACGTGCCCAGAACACCTCCCCAGGAAGGCGTCCAGGAGGCATCCGGAACAGATGCCGGAGCCACCTCAACTGGTTCCTCTCGACGTGGAGAAGCAGCGGCTCTACTCCGAGCTCCCCCGTGTGACTGAGCTCCTCACCCTATCTCTAAGGGAGCGCCCAGCCACTCTGCGGAGGAAGCTCATTTCGACCACTTGTATCCGCGATCTCGTTCTTTCGGTCATTACAATCTGTTTGTCTACTTTGACCAAATTCCCAAATCAGAATTGAGTAAATGTAGGACACAGGCAGGGTTTTTCACCGAGAAATGCCTGAGTGAACATGTAACACGTCCAAAAAACAAAAGGATGAGGAGAGTTTATCTCAGCGGACAACCAACCAACAATGATGATGTACAACAAACAGCGACACTGGTAACCAAACACTGGAGGTTCTACCGCAATCCGGGCTCTGCATGCAGCACTTTCATAATAAAAATCCATAATGAAAGACAACATCTGTGCTAAAATAGACACTCACGTACAGGAGGCAACCACAACTCTGAGAGGAAATCACATGTTTGGAACAAGAAACAAAGAAGAAGCGAGAGACTAGTCAAGCTAACTCCCAAGCTCAAAACAATTCAAGACATATGCTTGAACCTCAGAAATGGAGAAACTGGGAAAAGCTGGATAAGCTCTCGGAAGTGACTACACATCTTTCGAAATGTAAAGAAACAGCGATCACTATTCATCACAAAGACAAGGATCCCCTACAGCGTCTCAGGGGTGCGGTTTGGTTTGATGTATCCCACAAAACTTATAAACGCTTATAAACGCTTGGAAGGCTTCTTTATGGACCACAGGAAACCAAGTGATATTTCAAGAGCATCATGGAAGAAGGCAATAGATATGTGGGAGTTTGGACCCAATAAAGGTCAGCTCATTCTTTTTCTATATTCTTCGTGGAAATCCAAACTATCTCCATGCTTAGCAGAACTTTCCAAACTTTCCTCAGTCAATCAACATTTCATCTGCATGATAAGAAGGACTATACCAGCAGAAAGGCAGCAGGGATAAAGATTCTGGTGAAGAGCACAGGAACAGAGAACTTCTCCAGCCCAAGGTCACCCAGCCTGCAAACACACAATACGGACACAACATATATAGACACACACACACTGTAGGAACCAGACGTTTGTGTACAACTTGTAAACAATGACGCAGGACACATTTTGTCACTCTCTGATGTAAAAATGAATCCAGATACATATACATGAATTCATTTTAATGTATTATTTTTTCCTTCTACAAAGTCAGATGTGTTCATATGTACTTGGTAGAATTGTCATTAAAATATGTGAAGGCCAAGAAATTGTTTTTTATCTGTCCTACATGTATTGTATATTTGTTTGTGGTTACAACATTGTTGCATATCTCAGCCTGTACCACTGATATTCTCGGCCTGGTGAAAAGATTCTCAACACAAACATGAATGTGCTGCTTTAGAGGCTGTGGCAGTAAACCTGATTATAATACACACTGTACAAGAGTTGCTTTTTACTTTGACCCGCCCCTTAAATTCCCCAAAAAAATCGTATTGCCGGGCCTGTCCAGAGACACGGGTCACGATACTAACCCTAGTGTGTGTGTGTCTGTAAGTGCGTATGTGCATGCTTGTGTGTGTGTGTGTGTGTGTGCATGCATGCGTATGTTTGTGTGCGTGCATGCATGTGTGAAACCTGTGGATGCTGAGGCCGCTGTAGTAGCTCCAGCTGAGAGGTGCCGAAGGGAACTGGAATGTGTAGACCAGTATCAGCACCATCATGGAGTAGACCACCACCGTGAGCCAGAAGCCCCTGAGCAGAGAGCGCCACCACTGGTAGTTTACCTGCAGTGTAACAATCCAAATGAGACTCCATAAACTAGTTTAGGATCTTGGCCCTACTGTCCCTCGAAGAAGACTTCTGATCTCACTAACAAAGTCAAAAAGATGTAGGGTTACCAAGGTGACCTCTTCCTCAGATCAAAGACATTTGTGAGACATTTAATCGCTTCCTTAACCAGACAATGTTCTTAAAGGATAAAACTTTTGGCTAAGAATATACATAATGTAACTTTTTTCTCTACTGTGTGTGTAACAATTAGGGCTGTCAAACGATTTTTTTTTTTTTAGTTGATTAATCGCATAGTAATGGTGAGTTAACTCACGATTAATTTTCAAATTTAAAATTTCAAATCCACTCCAATTGAAGTTAAATGAGATTTCAAATGTAATGACACATTGTTATTCATACCAAATGTACTTCAATCTGTTTGACTTGCTCACAACCTTCTACTTTTGGGTACAACCAACAAGAGCTGTTAATGAAAGGGAAAATGTAGGTACCCCAGCTTTAATTTTGCGAGTTTTGTTGCATTTTAGCGTGTCTCCTCCTTTCCTCCGTGTGTCACACAACATCAGAGAATGGTCCCTGTGCGTGTATATATATGCGTGTATTATATGACCACGTTACCGCTGTCACCATCACACACACGCATGTGTCCGCGGCATTCTGAGTGATATTATTATAAATGGGCGTGTCATTCAGACATGTGTTAACTCATTGACTGCCAGCCTAGTTCAGAACAGGTACTCTCATATTGCCAGCCGTTTCTGATGATTTTTACTGAATTTTTAAGACCCACAGAATATTGTGTACTATGACTATCTGAAATCCGAAACCATTCTGAAAGAATGGACTGTCTACTTTCATCAGCAAAAATAATTTTGTTTCTAGCTTGTTTCGTTCCCCTGTAATCCCCAGTCGAATAGAGGTAAGTTTTATTGAAATCACCAGAAAGCTGAGAAAAAAGAGGCACATGTGCATCTAGCTGTTTTCAAACCATTAGAGCAATGCTGCCATCTGCTGGCTCAATAAAACATTGCCTCAAGCCTTACATATTTGATACAATAGACATCTGGGAACGTGAAAATAGTGGGAAACGCAATTGACGTGTTAACACGTCAATGGCAGTTAATGCGTTCAATATTTTTTTATGCGTAAATGAAAATGGTAATTAACGTGAATTAACGTGATAATTTTGACAGCCCTAGTAACAATCCTTTGAAAAGTCTTAAGATAAACACTCCCCGTGAATGGTTCCTTATTGATACCCTTAAATCAACAACTCATCATTTGGGGGAAGTCTGACGTGCGCCATGGTGTAGCACGATCTCCATGCAGCAAGGAGATCCCAGTGCTTCAAACCTGGAGCACCTCAACCCATGGTTTGAGAGGACGCCCACAACTTTTCACTAGCCCCCAGCTGCATTATGTAGAAGCTGCTGGACCGGGGCATCTAATGTTGGACATTTGATGACCTGATTCAGCCACATGATGCAGCCGCATAGTCCAGGCATGCACAAAGACTGGTCTCCATCCATCGCCATCACAACCCAACAAGGACCGTCACTGATCAACGCCACATCCTGGTTGTACAGTATGATACGCTATGTTCTACACAATTCATTTCAATCCAACTTTATTACAGACTCTAGGTCTAGGGCCAATTTGAAACATACTGACAGACAAGACAACAGCTGTTGGTTTATTAAACTTTACAATTCAAGAACCTTAGTCACTTAATTTTAATAGCCACATCAAATCAGTAACATTAGCAGCTTTTTACCATCTAAAAACATTGCCAGGATCAAAAACATAGTGTCTAAAGTAGACTTGGAGATTCTTATCCATGCATTTGTCTCCAGTAGGTTAGACTACTGCAATGGCCTGCTCACAGGTCTGTCCAAACAGGCTGTAAAACAGCTGCAGTACATTCAAAATGCAGCAGCTCGAGTCCTGACTAGAACCAGGAAGTACGACCACATTAGTCCAGTTCTCAGGTCTCTGCACTGGCTTCCTGTGGCTCAGAGAAATAGACTTTAAAACAGCTCTGCTTGTGTTCAAGTCTCTCCATGGCCTCGCACCAAAATATATTAGTGACATGTTAGTCCCATATGAACCAAGCCGGACTCTGAGGAGCACAGGGACTGGACTCCTGTTAGTGCCCAGAGTCAGAACTAAACATGGGGAGGCTGCTTTTCAGATTCATGCCACTAAAATCTGGAACAATCTTCCGGAAGATGTGAGACAGGCCTCCTCTCTGACAATGTTTAAAACCAGGTTGAAGACAGTTCTTTCTTTTTAATGTACTGTGATTATTTATGATTTCAATGCTATTTTGTTTTGTTCAGCACTTTGAGTTGCCTTGTGTATGAATTGTGCTATACAAATAAACTTGCTTTGCCTTGTCTCTTAAGTCACAAAGAACGCAAACAAATGCACACATTGACATTTTATCTGAGCTGTACCTGGTAGAGAGCCACACAGCACAGGAACATCACCATGTAGATGACTTTGTAGAGCACAATCTTCCCCTCGAAGCTCACAAAGAAGAACATGGTCCCGCAGACGTAGATCCAATACTTGACAAACATGCGCTTGAGGACAGCCCCCAGAACGTTCATCTGCCCTGCATCAGTCTGCAGCGGAAAGACGTCCTCACACGAGCCGTCTGCAACACACACACTCTCAACAACACATCCTGCTACTTTTGAGTAGACCGTTAGCAGCACCCTCTGTTCTCAGCATCCCTCTCACCTGTGCTGTGGACGGTCACACTGGACAGGCGGGTGGGGGAGGGGCTCTCCTTCACTAGAGCACTTTGCTTCTCAGTGATGGACTGACGCAGCAGCATCCAGAAGCTCAGCAGGCAGATGAGCTGCACACACAACAGGTTCCATTCAAACTTCAAGTAAGTAAGTGATCTTTATTCATATTAATTAGCGCCGTTCACACCCCAGAGTCACAAAGCGCTTTACAATTGTTGTGGGCCATTTGTCTCTCACTCCACACAGAGATGGGAGCAGAGTGGCCTACAGGAAGCGCATGCCAGAGCTGTTGTACATATTTTTAGCACCTGGAGGAAACCTACGCAGACACGGGGAGAACAAGCAAACACACAGAAAGGCCTGAAGGTTGCATCAAACTCAGGACCTTAGTATCTTAAGTGCTAAGTACACTCCAGACTGACTGCAAAAGTAGCTATTCTTCTTTTATTTTGCATTGATGTCAGGTGTTATATTTGGAATGATTTGACATTGACTCATACCATTTCAGGAACTGTTTGACTTGTGTAGGGCTGAGTGGGGAAGCCAACACTAAAACATTGTAATGATGCTGATGAATAAAGAGCTGCACTAAAGTGAAAAGTCTAGGGAAACCGACAAACAATCCCAAATGTTTTGGACAAAACCCATTTCTTTTTTATAGCCATAAATCACAACTGCAGTCATCTGGAAGGACTTTACAAAGTTGTCGATTCTCCAACAACAGATCAAAGAATCAAACAGAGCAGCTTGATGTTTATCATATGCTTAGAGATATGAATTGTTCTAGACAATTGCTTGGATCTATGTCATTCCAGTGAGCTCACCTTGGAGGCCAGTTCCAGACAAGGCTCCTCCTTCTGTGGAAAGACTCCAGGGACTTTGTCGACTTCTGGCAGACTGAAGATGTACTGAAGGATGAGCAGCAGGTTACCGTAGGCAACCAGCCAGGGGGCGGAGTCCAGAGTGTGTCGACGACGCTCCCTCATCATCCACAGGACACAGGACCAGACCAGCAGCACACAGCTGAGCCACGACACGTATGAGATGGCCCAGGCCAGCATGGCAACCAGGGCGGCGATGTAACTCTGCCTCAGAAGGAAGGCCAGAGCCACCGAGGCCACGCCCCTTCGGTCAAACAGCTCCTCCCCCTGATCCAGGCTCTGGTCCAGGCTCTGGTCCAAGTCGTCCTCAAACATGCAGGTTTCCAGAGTGTCTGTAAGCACACACACAGACGAATGAAAACACACACACAAATGCAGTGAGTGTAAAAGATTCACAGAATGAGAACATTTTCCCTGCAAATCGAGCAGTGGCTGAAGCTAAGCCTTGTGAACGCTGAAGCCCCGCTTTTAAATGTAAATGTGTAAACAGTATATTGTACTGTTCTGTAGTTTAGTGTATTCTGTATGTGTATCCTGCTATTGTCTGGTTTGTGCTAGGTACAAGGTCTACAAATTAGCCTCTGGCTCGATGGCTAGCTGAACACGGGGGTCATATGTGAAGCGCTCACGGAATGACTTGGAAGTGCTAGCCTCTTCTGTAGCTGTGGCACCGTAGCTGTCGTCTTCCGGCCCAGCTCATGACCCCTCACTTTTGCAGTTTGTACATAGAACAGTAAATTATCACTAAGATATTTGACGATTATTTCAAAGCATTTAATAATTAAGACAAATCAATTAATTGTAAATCCCAAGATTGAACGACTCCAAATCTTGCCTTGATCTAACCTCCTGCCTGGGTCTAAACACACTAATGCCTCTGTAGATGTCATTACATACCTGATTGGCTGACGGAGAACTGAGGGGTGGAGTACTGGGTCGTTGCCAGTGCGGTACTCTGAGTGGGCGGGCAATAAGAACCGGAAGAGCTGTGATTGGCTGAGGAGACCTGGACATGTGAAACCAGCGGTAGTAGTAGTAGGCGAAGAAAAAAAAATAATGTTCTATATATACTATATAAACATTGAAAGCATTTTAACTTTATGGTGCGTAATGACCACAATACCTACATTTATATTTTAGGCATATATTTTATACTTTTAATAATAGTACCAGCGGTATGTGTATTACTCTGTGTTGTATCAATAGTAAGTGTAGCAAAAGTAGTTATAGTAGTAGTAGTAGAGGCTGTAGTAAGAGAAGCAGTTGCAGTACTAGTTGTAGTAGCAGAAAGAGAGCTGCACCTGTATGTGTGTGCGGCTCCACAGCGCCCTCTTGACCTCAGCAGACAGCTCGAACACAGAATCATCGGTCTCATCCAGAGACTCCTCCCCTTCCAGAGGCTCCTCCCCATCCCGCAGCTCCTCCCCTTCTACAGGCTCCTCCCCCTCCACGTCACTGCTCACGTCTCCGGTCAGGAGCTGTTAGAAGGGACACAAAATGTGAAATGTACAATGGTCTTTCACAGGTTACTGACAGTGGGGGTGGGTCCCGGCTCAAATAAGGTCCATGAGCATGTGCACTGACAGGCTTGCAATCTGACTCCAGGCTGGTGGGGGTGTACCTGGAAAAAAAAATGTAAGGGGGGGGAGGGGGGATAACCTCACTGCCGCTGCTCAGGACTTTGGATGACACTTAAGAAGCGGAAGCAGCAGACAATCATCACTGAACAATGAGTACACAGCTCCCTCCTCTGGCAGAATTATATTAATTTGTTTGATAGATAGATAGATAAAACAACAGTGGTGTTTTAAACTGGGCTCCTTTTTGCTTTAACAATTGAAATTGCTTTGGTCAGGTCTGGTTGGGACTGCCCATACGTGGCTTGGGTTGGGACAGTACGTGCACAGACTTGGGTCAGTTCTGGACAGCAGATGCGCAGACCTGGGTCAGGTTGGATATTTTGAGCCTGATCTAATACAGATGTACCTTGTTTCTCCGCAGGGCACACACACAGTGGAAGAGCAGCAGCACCATCAGTGGAGAACACACGTGAAACCAGCGCAGCTCTGGGCTCAATTGCAGCCTCCAGGGGGCGCTACAGTCCACCCTAACCAACGGTACCACTCCAAACACACTGGGAAGAAAGAAGAAGGAGAGAACACCTCAAACATACATCAGAAAAATGACTTGCAGCTTCTGAGTTATGAGTATCGTAAGTATAGTTGTGTGTATCGGGACTACCTGGCCGTACTGGAGTTCACCATGGTGTCCTGCAGCGTGGGCAGCTGACAGCAGTAGAACAACAGGAAGTGACACGCAGAGTACAGCAGTGATGCCACAGAAACATGGCCAATCATGAGTGACGAAACACGGCCTGACCACGCCCACCAGGAGCACAGCACCTGGAAGCAGAGCAGGTAGGGCATGGAGGACAGCGACGGGAACACAATCCCTGTGACAACAGCAAAACACAAAAGTTTTAGAGTTTACACCATGAGAAAAAAACAAGATTGATCATTTGTTTGAGAATGGGGTTTCAGCAAGCTAAAAATACGTTTTGCAAGGGCCTTCTCCTTATTCCCATGGACTCATAACAAAGCAACACTCCATGGAGATTGAATGTTTGAAATGGTCCACATAAAAACAGTACCATTAAATATCAGGCCAGGCTCAAAAAGGTCTATTTGACATGTAATAAAGTGAAATCAATGCTGGCCCCAGATGATTGTGAAAGCAAACTGTCTGCGCTTTTAATGACCCACTTACATTGATTTGCACTGAACAGTCGAAATTGTATAAAAAGCCACTGATCTAAAATGCCGCCAATGGCAGGGACCTCCTCCTTAGTTTGTAAACATGAGCCTCTGTGATTGTTGCTCTGTGAGCTACAATTACACATACAATTATTTTTTTATTAACACTGCAAAAATAAAAAATCAGATATTCATCTAAGTTTCTACTTTTAAGGTGCCATATTTCGCTTTCCATCCTAGGCATCCTGTGATAATACTTTGGGTGATACACCACAAAAAAAGCACAGACGCAGGACCATACTAATCTTTACAGTCTATGGACCACACACTGGACTCAGACTTTCCAAAGACTCGGGGCACGATCACATAGATTTTTACAAGCAAACTGTCGCAACAGGGGTGTGAAAACGGCCCGCGGTCACATGAACGTGTTCTCTGAACCGTGCCAGCGCAACTTCGCTGTAGTGCAACGCCCGGTCCAACTGGGGGCGCTATTAATAACTTCAGCAACTACCACGTTGTCAGAGTTGAGTATCCGCTTCATTTCCTGTTTACATTCTGCTACTGTAGCTAGCAGGCTCAAGCATGCAACGTGTTTCTTGCATCAGAGCAACGTGAACAAGTGTGAGATATGTCTTCATAATAGATCCATGGTCTTTCCCCAAAATGCAGCGGTGGGACACGTGTGTGTTGTCTGTGTGTGCGGGCGCGCCACAGACACTGGAGCGCGCAGCGACCGGAGGCAGACGATAAAAGTGTGTGTGTGTTCTGGCGATTAAATAAAGACTGATTTTTGAATGTCTGAAGTGTTATTGCAATAGCACCACACTGAGAGCGAGGGTCAGGACAGAAGTGAGCTATACCTGTGGGAAACGCTTTTCTTTGGCCTTGCAGCGCAGCCACACACTCCCCAGTGCCCCTCGACCACTGTCCGGGGGCTTTTATGAAAGGTTTAACACAAGCGGAGAATACAAAAATGCGTGTCACAGTAAGACGTCATGTGACGCACAATATCACGTCCCCACCACACCTCATCCCCCACTCGACCACCACCTGCCACACTGAACCCCCTCATCCGCGCTGGAAAGGGTGCTCAGGCCCACGTCTTCAATCAGGCGCGGTTGCTGCAATGTTTGGATGTGAGGCAAAGAGCCGCATTCTGATTGGGCCTAATGTTCGCCACCCATGGTTTATCACAACCCCATAGTTCCTGTGTTGCCCTTAAGGCAATTGTTTTTCTTTAATAAATAAGTAAATACATTTTATGTTAATTAATATGTTTAAAAAGCTAAAAACGGTTCCATTATTTGTTGTATGTAATTTGCATAAATATTTCATGATTATTTGTATTTTGGATTAAAAATGTAGCGATTTATGGGTACTTCCGGTTTTGCCGCTTGACTTCCGGTTTTGGGTTTCCGGTAGTCAGATCTCCGTTGCATTCTAGTATCAGCATGGTGTCATTCTCAATCTGTCTTCATCTGCATTGAAGCACTTACAAGGCAATGCCGTAAGTTTGTTTATATGTGTATATTCATCTTAGTACTTATATTTGTGAGTTATTTAGCCATAGTTTTGAGTTTATTCGGACCTTTTGTACATGGATGTTTGCACATTTGTTTTGATGTCTATCGCTCAGTTTTATGAGAGCATTTTGTATACTTTACAGTTTTCACCATCTGGAGAGGAAATTAAAAACAACTAAACGTCCCCTGTGGTCCCGGTTCTCTTCAGTGGTTTAGCTGGGTGTTGTATCGACGACACTATAGTGAAAAGGCAGCATTTCAAGCTTCATCGCAGTCAACGGACAGAAAATAACACATGGTCAAAATGGCGGCCAGCACCAGATCACACTCAAATCTATCAAGGTCTTCATCTGCAAACAGTGCGGCATGCGCTCGTGCTAGAGCAGAAGCGGCGAAGGTGAGGGCATCATATGCAAATAAAGAAGCGGAATTAAAAGTGGAGAAATGTAAACTTGATGCAAAGCTAGAAGTGCTAACGCTAATAAGAGAAGCAGACGCTGCTGCAGCAGAGGCAGAAGTACTAGAGGAAGCTGAGGCAATACAAGAGGAGAGCAGAAAGTCAGTTTCTGAGAGAATAAAAAGAGAACGTACAAAAGAATATGTGCAGTCTCAAATGAACTTGTGTAAGCCACATGACTCCGCACCAGTGCAAGACAGCCATAGTCAGAAAGTTCTTCCAAATGACACATTCGTCACCTGGAACCCATCTGGAGACGCTGTTTCAGACACAGTTCCACCACCCATCTCTGATAGGCCAAAGCTTAATAATGACACACCCGCTCTCATCAAAAACGCAAATAGCTCCAAAGTTGAGACTAAACCAAGAATTGAACAAACAAAACAAGCTCTCCATCCTTTCTCCAGTCCATTCACGGCTCAGTTCAATACTCCAACAAACATGTTACATCCAGCTGAGCCATTCGCACAATACATGGCACGTCGGGACCTCATCACTTCAGGTCTTTACGAGTATGATGATAGACCCGAGAACTTTAGAGCGTGGCGCTCCTCTTTCACAGGCGCTACAGCCGAGGTTCATCTCACACCAACACAAGAGCTTGACCTCATGACGAAATGGTTGGGGAAAGAGTCAAGCAATCAGGTGAAACGCATTCGCTCGGTACACGTCAATAACCCCACTGTTGCTCTTCAGAAGGCATGGGATCGACTCCATGAGTGTTATGCAGCCCCTGAAATAATTGAAAAAACACTGTTTCAGAGATTGGACAGTTTTCCCAGGTTATCAGTAAAGGACAATGTAAAGCTGCGGGAACTAGGGGATCTATTACAAGAGATCCAGGGCGCTAAGGAGGATGGCTATTTTCCCGGCCTGCTTTATCTGGACACTTCTTGTGGCATTGGGCCGATAGTGGAAAAGCTCCCATACGGACTCCAGGATAAATGGATGTCTCAAGGCTCACAGTATAAAGAGGACAATGGTGGTTGTTTTCCACCCTTTGATTATTTCTGCACGTTCATATGCAGAGAGGCTAAGAAACGTAATGATCCAAGTTTCAACCGACAAGACGGTCAAACAAACTTGAAGCCAGAAAGATTTAACCAAAGGAACTTCAACTCAACCAAACCAATCTCTGTGCACAAAACAAACATTTCAACCCCCAGCAAAGACATTAACAAGGACTGCCCACTGCACAATAAGCCACACCCACTAACAAAATGCAGGACATTCAGGAACAAATTATTGGATGAGAGAAAGGTTTTCCTCAAAGAGAAAGGAATCTGCTTCAAGTGCTGCTCTTCAGACTCTCATCTCGCTAAGGACTGTAAATCTACGGTGAAGTGCTCTGAATGTGAAAGTACAAGCCATAACACCATTATGCATCCTGGCCCCCCACCGCAGTTCTCCAAGGCTCCTTCTCCCGCTCAGGACGATGGCGGGGAGGGAGAAAGTCACTCAGACAACATTGCAGTGACAACAAGCTGTACAGGGGTGTGCGGTCCAGGTCAGTGGGGTCGTTCATGTTCCAAAATATGTCTCACACAGGTGTACCCTAAAGGTTGCAAAGACAGTGCAGTTAAAGCTTATGTTATCCTTGATGACCAGAGCAACCGTTCCCTAGCCAGGCCCGAGTTCTTTGAGCACTTTAATGTTAAGAATGAGCCTGTATGCTATAACTTAAGAACATGTTCTGGCCTTGTTGAAACATGGGGCAAAGTGGCTGAAGGCTTTCAGATTGAGTCTTTAGATGGGTCAGTAGTAATCCCACTGCCACCTCTCATTGAATGTCAAGACATCCCTAACAATAGGAGCGAAATTCCAACTCCAAATGCAGTACTTCATCAGTCACATCTCCGGTCGATAGCTAAGTACATTCCGGAGCTGGACCCTCAGGCAGAAATACTCTTGTTACTAGGGAGAGATGTTCTACATGCACACAAGGTCAGAGAACAAATCAATGGTCCTAATCAGGCACCTTTTGCTCAGCGCCTAGACTTAGGTTGGGTTGTAGTCGGGGAGGTTTGTGTGGGTAACGTCCACAAGCCTGCAGTCAACTCATTCAAGACAGTGATTTTAGAAAATGGCCGTCCCACAGTTTTTGGGCAATGCGATAACTTCCTGCAACTCAAAGAAGCGTCACGTGTGAACGGGCCCATCAAATCCCCTGAGCAAACCCTTGGACAGACAGTGTTCAACCGAACTGAGAACGACAACAAGCTAGCTCCCTCCATTGAGGACACTATCTTCTTAGAGATAATGGACAAAGGCATGTACAGAGATGACGATAATAGTTGGGTCGCCCCTCTGCCCTTTAAAGAGCCTCGCCAGCGAATGCCGAACAATAGAGAGCTAGCAGTCAGTCGGTTTCAATCCCTTAAACGTAGTATGCAAAAGAAGCCACTCATGCAAAAGCAGTTTGTGGAGTTCATGGACGGTATTTTCTCAAACGGTCATGCAGAAGTAGCACCTGCATTAAAGCAAGGAGAAGAGTGCTGGTATCTTCCAACATTCGAGGTTTACCACCCACAAAAGCCCAACAAAATCAGGGTAGTTTTCGATTCCAGCGCCCAGCACTCCGGAGTCTCACTCAACAACGTGCTCCTTACTGGCCCCGATCTAAATAACAGTCTCATTGGAGTCCTCCTTCGCTTCCGCAAAGAGAGTGTTGCCATCATGGCCGACATACAGCAGATGTTTCACTGTTTCATGGTGCGCGAAGACCATCGCAACTACCTCCGTTTTCTGTGGCATAAGGACAATGATGTTGACAAAGAGGTCATTGAATACCGTATGAAAGTCCATGTGTTCGGCAACTCTCCATCTCCTGCTGTAGCTGTTTACGGGCTCCGCAAAGCAATTCAAGCTGGAGCAAACAACTATGGTACTGACACCGTCAAGTTCGTGGAGAGACATTATTATGTTGACGACGGCCTGATCTCCGTGCCTTCTCCAACCAGAGCAATAGACTTGCTCCAAAGAACTCAAGCCTCGCTCGCTGAGTCCAATCTGCGACTGCACAAGTTTGCCTCTAACTCACAGACAGTCATGCAAGCCTTTAGCTCTGAGGATTGTGCAGCAGTTGTTAAAGATTTAGATCTGAGTGGCGAAGAATCTCAACTGCAGCGAAGTCTAGGTCTCATTTGGGAAACAACGACAGACACTTTTAAATATTCAGTGGCAACCACAGAAAAACCGTTCACTCGTAGGGGTGTCCTGTCATCCGTTAATAGCATCTTTGATCCTCTTGGCCTATTAGCGCCTGTCACTATCCAAGGAAGGGCTCTACTAAGAGAACTCACTTCAGAAAGCTCTGACTGGGACACTCCACTTCCAAAAGAAAAGCAAACCAAATGGGAAGCTTGGAGGGATTCCCTTAAAGACTTGAAAGAACTCCATGTTCCAAGAACGTATACTTCCAGTTCTCTCAGCCAGGCAGAACGCAAATAACTCTGTCTATTTTCAGACGCTTCCATTAAAGCCATAGGTGCTGTAGCCTACTTCAAAGCAGTTCAACCAGACGACTCAGTTGAGGTAGGATTCGTCATGGGCAAGGCAAGACTAGCTCCCCAGTCAGAACCCACTATACCGAGACTCGAACTGTGTGCCGCAGTTCTAGCGGTAGAGATGGCTGATCTGCTTCAAGATGAGTTGGACATTCAGTTTGATGAAATTCACTTTTACACAAACAGCAAGGTAGTTTTGGGATACATCTTCAACGAATCAAAGAGATTCTACACGTACGTTCACAACAGAGTGCAGCGCATTCGTCAGTCCTCAAAGCCTCAACAATGGCACTACGTGCGAACGGACGAAAACCCTGCAGATCATGCGTCACGCTCCCTGACACCATCTCAACTTTCAACCACGACATGGTTCACAGGGCCAAAATTCATTCATTGTTCACATGCTGCAACAAAACAAAGTGAATCGTCGTTTGAGTTAGTTGAACCAGACAAAGACTGTGAAATCAGGCCACAAGTAAAAACGTGCGCTACTCACCTCCAAGTCACCACCTGCAAACGCTTCGAACGCTTCTCGACTTTCAAGTCCCTGGTCAGAGCAGTTGCATTCCTCATCCACATTACAAAATCGTTCAATGGCACTAATCCAAACAGTGGATGTAAGGGGTGGCACAAATGCAACTTACCAAGGACTCCAGATGAAATGACGCAAGCAAAACACGCCATTCTCAATGAGACTCAAAAATCCTCTTTTGAAAAGGAACTTTTCGCCCTCAAAGCTGGTAAACAGATCCCGAAACAGAGCCCCTTGGTGAAACTCTGTCCTGTCCTTGAAAACGGTGTGATGTCAGTTGGAGGCAGACTCAAAGACTCTGAGCTTGAGAACTCTGAAAAGAACCCAATTATCCTACCGAAAGACAATCACATCTCGCTCCTGCTCACTCGTCACTACCACGAGCAGACTAAGCACCAGGGCCGTCACCTAACTGAAGGGGCAATCAGGGCAGCAGGTCTGTGGATACAAGGTGGCAAAAGACTTGTTAACTCGGTCATTCACAAATGCATCATCTGCCGCAAACTGCGTGGTAAACAAGAAGAACAACGCATGGCAGATCTTCCACCTGAACGGCTTAAAACATGTCCTCCGTTCAGCTTTGTTGGCCTTGATGTCTTCGGGCCTTGGACAATAACAACCAGGCGCACAAGGGGTGGACAAGCTCAAAGTAAGCGCTGGGCCATCATGTTTAGCTGCATGAGTTCGAGAGCGGTGCATATCGAGGTGATCGAGTCTCTGGACACGTCCAGCTGCATCAACGCCTTGAGACGCTTCTTTGCACTACGAGGCCCTGCTCAAAAACTCTTATCCGATCGCGGAACTAACTTTGTAGGGGCTTCTAAGGAGTTAGGAATGGACAAGCCACTACAGCAATACTTAACGGACCAAGGGTGCAGCTGGGAATTCAACCCGCCTCACGCCTCCCACATGGGAGGTTCTTGGGAACGCATGATTGGGATTGCTCGGAGAATACTGGACTCGATGCTGCTTCAAAGTAAGGTACAACTCACTCATGACGTCTTGTGCACTTTCATAGCCGAAATCACCGCCATCATAAACGCCAGACCACTCCTTCCAGTTTCTTCCGATCCAGACGACCCCTTCATCCTCTCTCCCTCAATGCTTCTCACTCAGAAATCTTGCCTCTTACCCCCTCATGGAGATTTCACCGACAAAGACCTTTACACTAAGCAGTGGAGACAAGTTCAGGCTCTCGCCAACCAGTTTTGGACACGCTGGAGACGGGAGTATCTACCCTCTCTGCAACAGAGTCAAAAATGGACTGAACCCCGCAGGAACTTGCAAGTCAATGACATCGTTTTGCTCAAGGACAAGCAGGCCCCACGCAACAGTTGGCCCATGGCTCGGGTCACAGCAACTTTCCCTGGAAAGGACAGTCGCGTAAGGAAGATCGAGATCAAGTTAAACGATCAAGGCTGTGTAAAGACTTTCTTGCGGCCAGTTACCGAAGTGATCCTTCTTCTGCCAAAGGACTAATCTTCTCGAGGTTTAGATGGTAATAGTGACCTCACAGTGGCCAGACGGGGAGTGTGTTGCCCTTAAGGCAATTGTTTTTCTTTAATAAATAAGTAAATACATTTTATGTTAATTAATATGTTTAAAAAGCTAAAAACGGTTCCATTATTTGTTGTATGTAATTTGCATAAATATTTCATGATTATTTGTATTTTGGATTAAAAATGTAGCGATTTATGGGTACTTCCGGTTTTGCCGCTTGACTTCCGGTTTTGGGTTTCCGGTAGTCAGATCTCCGTTGCATTCTAGTATCAGCATGGTGTCATTCTCAATCTGTCTTCATCTGCATTGAAGCACTTACAAGGCAATGCCGTAAGTTTGTTTATATGTGTATATTCATCTTAGTACTTATATTTGTGAGTTATTTAGCCATAGTTTTGAGTTTATTCGGACCTTTTGTACATGGATGTTTGCACACAGTGGCGGCCGGCCAATAGAGGGCGCTAGGGCGCCGCCCCACCACTCACAACTTGCCATGTTACGTTGAATAAAACGTTAAAAAAATAATAACATTAAAATATTTCGAAATTTATGTGTGTTTTATTTCAGATGTGGAAGAAATACTTTATAGTTTATGCTGAGTTGGCTTGATTAAGCTCATCAGCGTTGTCTGTGTCGGACTGAGGACGTATTTCCGCCTCAGGGCGCAAAAGATTGCGCCCTGAGCCGTCTATGGACTCTCGTTAAAAGTTGTACATGCGCAGTAGCTCCTCTTCAATGCAAGAGATAAGACGATTTGGGGGCGCAGGAGAAGTGCGCCCTGAGGGGGCGGGATCGCCCGCGACCTGTACTGTCACTGTCTGTGACGTCTGTTTACAGTGATTGACAGGTCAAGCTGTGGGAGTTTGAGACGAACGTAAAGAGACGCAAAATGGAGAACGAGAAAAAGAATAATTCAGTTAGATCACTCAAAACAATACCGTTTGAGAGAAGATCATACCAGGAGAAGGTTGAGGTTAAAGAGCTTGGACCTGATCAGCCAAATATTACCATTAGTCAGCAGTCCAGCGACAGGGGGAGACGGTACACTCGTACTTTTTCCAGGACCTGGTTCAGCGCCAAATCTTGGCTAGCAGCATGTAGCGAGGCTAATGCTTTATTTTGCTTTCCATGCCTCTTGTTTCAAACATCAGGATCTGACCCAGCATGGATCAAGACAGGTATGACTGATCTGAAGCACTTTTTAGAAAAGGCAAAGAAGCATGAGCAGACTGGTATCCACATGCAAAATGCCCTCAAATTAGCTATGTTTGGGAAGATAAATATTTCATTCTCGTGTGAGGCTTCAGTCACAACAGTCAGTGTAAACTTACTTACTGCTGGTATATATCTAGTCATCATATTCATAGCCCCCCCAGTAGAAAATTCCACCAGCCGCCACTGTTTGCACATTTGTTTTGATGTCTATCGCTCAGTTTTATGAGAGCATTTTGTATACTTTACAGTTTTCACCATCTGGAGAGGAAATTAAAAACAACTAAACGTCCCCTGTGGTCCCGGTTCTCTTCAGTGGTTTAGCTGGGTGTTGTATCGACGACACTATAGTTCCAACCCTAAGCTACTCTACCCGACCCTTCTCTACTCTACTTGACTCTACTCTACATTTTCCTACTCTGCTCTACCTTGATTGATCTGCTGGTGTGTGTATGTGTGTGTGCATTTGTGTACGTGTGTAGCACTGACCAGTGAGGCCCAGCAGAGCCGTGAGCAGCAGCTGTCCCCCGGTGGATGTCATGTTTCCCTGCAGGTGTTTGAGATGCTGGAGGAGTGACTGCAGCTCCACACACAGACGGGAGGTTCTCTCAGGCTCCTCTGCTCCAGTGTCCATGGGCTCCGGCATCAAGGATCCGTCCTGCTGCTGCAGCTGTTTAAGGGGACAGAACATTATAAATAGTAAGTAAGTAAGTAAGTAAGCTTTTATTTATATACCGCCTTTTCACTGCACATTGGAGTCTCAAAGCGGTTTACAATTGTTGGGTGGGGGTGCCAGTACAGGAGGCACATGTCAGACCTATTGTACATATTTTTAGTGGTAGGGGAAACCGGAGCACCCGGAGGAAACCTACGCAGACACAGGGAGAACATGCAAACTCCACTCAGAAAGGCCCTGGTCCAACCAGGATTCGAACCCAGGACCTTCTTGCTGAGAGGCGAGAGTGCTATCCACTCAGCCACCGTGCCGCCTAAATACTGAGCATAAATATTTAAAAAAACATAACTTTTCACAGCCTATGATTTCGATTGTTTTTTTCAGTTGTTCAAAAGTTAACAGGACTAGACTAGTCTTTATTTTGACATAATCATGCAAACAATATACATTCCTCAAAGCTATTTTTAGCATCATACAACCTAATATCAGGGAATTCTAAGCCTCTGAACATCTCATCACACCAAGCCCCAGGGATCCAAGATGTCTGTCCATTCAAGTCAATGGGCTGGGCTGGAAATCAGCCAGTAGCATCTAGCGCCAGAAACAAGCTAACAGCACATGGACAGTAGAGCTATATCCTCATGACGCTACCTTCCCCGTGTTGCTTTGTAGCACTAAAGCATCAAGACGCATTTTATGATTAACATTTTGAATGTATGGATTTAAACTGGACAAATATAAGTATTATCGCAAAAGAAGACTCACCTGATGAATACCAGACTAAATATGACGCTGAAGCGCAAATTCAAGACTGAAAGACCGGCCACAGCTCTCACCCGTCCAGAGCCAGCCAATCACACAGCTCCGCCGGCCTCTTGCCAACCCACTGACAGCAAAACGGGCAGTTTAAAAGCAGCCACTTCCTGATAAACAGCGCCTCCTGAGGCTTTTATCACCCACCGCCTCCCCAAGCTCCTAGTTCCTGCTCGGGCTCCTGCCCTGGCTCCTGCCCTGGCTCCTGCTCTGGCTCCTGCACTGGCTCCAGCTCTGCCTACGCCCCATTCACACCATGCTTCTAGCCACCACCAGTGCTTGACCCCGGGGGATCTGAGATCATCTACAGCAGCAGACGATCTCCCCTCTGCAAGTGTCACTGCCAGGGTAAATGCACCAATCAAATAAATCTTTTTCATGCATTAATGTTTCTGTCTTGGTCTCTTCAGATTGAAATAATTTACATCTCAAAACATGAGAGACGATAGATTTGCTCCTGTTGTCGTCATGTTGGATCTGTTAACAAACTACAGAGGCCCGTCTGTCCAATAGGGCGTCAGCATCGTCTTACCATCCCGTTCTGTGATTGGTCAACAATTCCATGCAAACATTTCGTTCAAAGTTTTCATGCAGTTGTGCAGTTTGAAATGATTCGAGCACACACCGCACATGGGGATGTGCGTTGTGACAAAGACTAACGCTGTAGGTCACTGTCTGCCTAGCCTCAGGTAACATTCACTTTAAAAGGCCACAGGAAAAACTCATCTTCAGCCCAGTAGATCTCATGTAGGCTGCAGAATGATTCATTTTAATTGATCCTTCATTTGTCCCATATCTATACTAAATAAAATAAAATAAAATCTGTAACTTTAGCATCAAAAAGAGGCAAGTATAAAATCTCTAGCTTTAGCATTATATGGAAAAAATCTAAATAATTTAACATAATGAAGAACAAGAAGAAGTACATAATATCTGACGTTTACATTAATAACAAAGTATAAAATCTCTACTTTTGGCAGTACTGAGACATAAAGTGAAGGTAAAGCTGTATTTTATTGTCTCTCTTCTGCATTAAACCCATTCTGTATTGCCACTAGGGACAACCTGTCAGGAGCAGTACATACAAATATACTCTAGTCTGTCCAGTTATTAGAACAGAAACATGCATCACAACATTCACATCAGGCTTGGCCATTTGACATTTGAGCTGCTTTAGACCGTGGGACAGGAGCAGTTTTCAGGCGAAGACGTAATGAGTTGGTTTAAGCACAGTCAGGATCTATGAAGCAGGAAGTCTGAGCCCAGGCCTAACCTCTTTAGTACAGACGCAATAAACATAATAACCTGAAGAATCATGTCCATCCGTCTTCATTTGGCTCGGCCTGTGTCCCTTCAGCTCAGGCGGATCGATACACCTGTCCTCAACTAAGCAGCTCTCCAAAGACGCATTATGGAGTTTGACTGATTAATTATTCAAATCATCACAAATTACCAAAAGGGCTTGATAGAGAGTATGAAAAGCTCTGAACGGTATAGTCTCAAAGTCTATTTAAAAAACCAATATGATGCACATTTGAATTAAATCTTTCCTTCAGACCTGAGCTTTTTACCTTTCATGTTTTATATTATGAAATAATGTATCTAGTAGAAAATATGGATATACAGTGGGGAAAAAAAGTATTTAGTCAGCCACCAATTGTGCAAGTTCTCCCACTTAAAATAAGGACAGAGGTCTGTAATTTTCATCATAGGTACACTTCAACTGTGAGAGACAGAATGTGAAAAAAAATCCAGGAATTCACATTGTAGGATTTTTAAAGAATGTATTTGTAAATTATGGTGGAAATAAGTATTTGGTCAATAACACAAATTCAACTCAATGGAAGGAGGTTTTGGCTCAAAATCTCACGATACATGGCCCCATTCATTCGTTCCTTAACACAGATCAGTCGCCCTGTCCCCTTATCAGAAAAACAGCCCCAAAGCATGACGATTTCCACCCCCATGCTTCACAGTAGGTATGGTGTTCTTGGGATGGAACTCAGTATTCTTCTTCCTCCAAACACGACTAGTTGAGTTTATACCAAACAGTTCTACTTTGGTTCTACCACATGACATTCTCCCAATCCTCTGCTGTATCATCCATGTGCTCTCTGGCAAACTTCAGACGGGCCTGAAAATGCACTGGCTTCAGCAGGGGGACACGTCTGGCACTGCAGGATTTGATTCCCTGTCGTCGTAGTGTGTTACTGATGGTAACCTCTGTTACTTTGATCCCAGCTCTCTGCAGGTCATTCACCAGGTCCCCCCGTGTGGTTCTGGGATATTTGATCACCGTTCTCATGATCATTTGGACCCCACGGGATGAGATCTTGCGTGGAGCCCCAGATCGAGGGAGATTATCAGTGGTCTTGTATGTCTTCCGTTTTCTGATAATTGCTCCCACAGTGTATTTGTTCACACCAAGCTGCTTGCCTATTGTAGATTCACTTTTTCCAGTCGGGTGCAGGTCTACAATTCTTTTCCTGGTGTCCTTCGACAGCTCTTTGGTCTTGGCCATAGTGGAGTTTGGAGTCTAACTGTTTGAGGCTGTGGACAGGTGTCTTTAATACAGATAACGAGTTCAAACAGGTGCCATTAATACAGGTAACGAGTGGAGGACAGAAGAGCTTCTTAAAGAAGAAGTTACAGGTCTGTGAGAGCCAGAGATCTTCCTTGTTTGAAGTGACCAATTACTTATTTTCCACCATAATTTACATAATTAAAATTCTTTAAAAATCCTACAATGTGAATTCCTGGATTTTTTTTTTATGTCTCTCACAGTTGAAGTGTACCTATGATGAAAATTACAGACCTCTGTCATTATTTGAAGTGGGAGAACTTGGCTGACTAAATACTTTTTTGCCCCACTGTACGTAAAGAGGGATCAGGGGAAAGTGCTACACTCCTCGCTATAGTGAAATATGTGGAACTATATATTCTGATTTGGATCTAAATTGACATGCTTTTTTAATCCTTTAAAAAGATATGTTCTTTTCAACAGAATGGAGGAGCGGCTAGCTGGCTATGCTACACAAATTAAAGGGACACTTTGTAAAGAAAGTAATTTGTGGGCATTGTTTTTCAATTCTGTCAATCACATCATAGTCTGAAAATGTGTCATGATGTAACTGGACATTTTATTCAAGTTTATGCCAGAAGTTCCTGATATTACCATGAATGGCTGGACTGGGGCCGTTTAATATTTTTTCATGTTTTCTTTACTCGAACGCACGTCACCATTGACTTTGCATGGAAAGTCACTGCAACGCATGATCCGGTCTGAACGCGGCATTACAGCTGCGCGCTCCCATGTTGTTGTCAAAGCGGCTCAGAGAGAGCCGCTGGACGCAGGAACCGCTGTCCAAAACGGCCGCAGCTGCTCTAGAAGGCTGCGACCACGGAGGATGTGGAATCCTGTTCGAGTTCATACAGCACTCAACAGCAAGTGCCCCGCGGCCATGCGTGCCCCCTTCGAACATTTCTTTAACAGATTTACACAATTATATGAGGCTGACAGGCCGGCCCAAATATGGGCATAGGCCCTTCAGGCATTTCTCGGTACGCCCAATGGCCAGTCCAGCCCTGTTACCATGCATGTAAGTGTGTGTGTGTGTGTCAATACCTGATGAGGAGGTGCAGAGAGTGTAGAGCTGAGTCTCCATGTGACCAGTGCCGCCACGAGGACAGCCAAGTCCGGAGCGATGTGTCTGATCACTGAGCCGGCATCACTCCCCGACAGACTGCACACACACAGCAGAGACATGACAGACTGAACACACACAGCAGAGACATGACAGACTGAACACACACAGCAGAGACATGACAGACTGAACACACACAGCAGAGACATGACAGACTGAACACACACAGCAGAGACATGACAGACTGAACACACACAGCAGAGACATGACAGACTGAACACACACAGCAGAGACATGACAGACTGAACACACACAGCAGAGACATGACAGACTGCACACACAGCAGAGACATGACAGACTGAACACACACAGCAGAGACATGACAGACTGAACACACACAGCAGAGACATGACAGACTGCACACACACAGCAGAGACATGACAGACTGAACACACACAGCAGAGACATGACAGACTGAACACACACAGCAGAGACATGACAGACTGAACACACACAGCAGAGACATGACAGACTGAACACACACAGCAGAGACATGACAGACTGAACACACACAGCAGAGACATGACAGACTGAACACACACAGCAGAGACATGACAGACTGAACACACACAGCAGAGACATGACAGACTGAACACACACAGCAGAGACATGACAGACTGAACACACACAGCAGAGACATGACAGACTGAACACACACAGCAGAGACATGACAGACTGCTGCATAAAGGATGGGGAAACTTGAGCCCCATCCCCTCCTCTGTCCTATTTTATCTGTTATCATTATGATTTAGACTGTAGTCTGTTACTTGCCGTTCATCTGCTGTCAATTCTACAGCCTGAGTTCTGGATCCATAGCCTGTTTGTCCATGGGACTGGATCCCTCTCTCATTGTGGGCCTCACTTTTTTCTCTCAGGGTTTTTTTAGTTGTTCCTTGCTGATTCAAGAGGGTCTAAGGACAGTGGTGACGGACAGTGGACCAGGACATTTATAGACATTTATAGACATTTATGGTCATCCGCCCCATATGTACCATTTGCTTGTATGTGTTGTTTACTATTGTATGTTCTGTGTTTGCTGCTCTGATCTGTTGTTGAGAAATCAACATTGTTGTAAAGTAAACCAAGACGACTGCTGTTGTGATTGAAGGCTATAATGAAATTAAATCCAAAGAGACAGACGAAACAGGAGTGTTGCTCCAGATGTGAATGACGCACATGCTGCTGAAGAGAACCATTCATTCTTTATGTCCTGATGAGCTTCAATTAGTATTGCTGTTGTCCGTTTATATGCTTAACACCTCTCATAGAATAGTTGTTCAATAAATTGTCCTTTCTACTGCTGCCACTGCTGGACATACAGTAAACACTGCTCCACATGACTGTGAAAATATTGGTGAAGTGATCTGACCTGATGAGGCCGAGCTGAGAGAGCGCCTTCTGCCAGGAGGTACCTAAACACAAGAACACACAAGAATCAATAAAAATTCTTGCACCAATAATTATATTAACACACAAACACATCTCAGAGACATGGAGAAACATTGATGCTGGGATCTTTCAAATATGTTCACTTATATTAACTGCCTGTGTGTGTTTAGTCTTTTTGCCCCCCTCCCCCAATGCTGTGTTTCGTTCAAACATCTGTTTTTATAGCGTAAGACTCCAGTCAGGTGGAGTCAGCCTTCCTCCCCACCCGGCTGAAATGTAAATCTGTAAATATATAAAGAGATATTGCTTTTTTTAAGAGATAATAGTTTTTTTAATCAATTCCAGTGGTACGGGATCATATAATGAGATCCACTGCCAAAATAATATTCTCAAACACCCCTAGGAATTACAAACTAATTTGTCAGCCATTAATTGTGCACGTCCTCCCACTTAAAAAAGATGAGGGAGAGAGAGCTGGGACTAAAGTAACAAAGGCTACCATCACAATCGTTTTTAGCTGTAACAAAATCCGGCACTTTATGATCACTAGTTTTCACATGCATGTATTGTTCGCGGACCATCCTCACTCAGCCAATCAGCTCTCAGCCCAAAGCACTCAAAAGGGAATCACTTCAGAAGCAGAAGATAAAGCTGTTACTGCTGTACCTGGGGGAAGTATGAAGCATTACAGGACTTTTTGATCGGAATTATGCATTTCTTTCAACACAAGTTTCTGAATAAATGCATGATGATGTAAGTGTTTGTCGTCACCGCATTCTTCCCTCTGACACCTCGCTGACTCCACCTGACTGGAGTCTTACGCTATAAAAACAGATGTTTGAACAAAACACAGCATTGGGGGAGGGGGGCAAAAGGACTAAACACACACAGGCAGTTAATATAAGTGAACATATTTGAAAGATCCCAGCATTAACACTGCTCCATGTTTCTCCATGTCTCTGAGATGTGTTTGTGTGTTAATATAATTATTGGTGCAAGAATTTTGTCAGTAACAGAGTATTTTGAAAGTCATGCACTACACCTCTGCAGGGAAACACCAGCGACAGAGACAGAAATGCCTGTCATGCCCCACAGCAACAACATTGGGGGCCTCTTGTGTTAACGCTAGGGGCTGACAAAGAGTTTCCCCCTCCATCTTAATTTCTTTAAAGACCGACTTCATCAAGAGACTTGGCCTTCCTCCCCACCCGGCTGAAATGTAAGTGTGTAAATATATAAAGAGATATTGGTTTTTTTAAGAGATAGAGTTTTTTAAAATCAATTCCAGTGGTACAGGATCATATAATGAGATCCACCGCCAAAATAATATTCTCAAACACCCCTAGGAATTAGAAACTAATTTGTCAGTCACCAATTGTGCACGTTCTCCCACTTAAAAAAGATGAGGGAGAGAGAGCTGGGACTAAAGTAACAAAGGCTACCATCAGTAATCAGAATCATTTTTTAATCAGGAACACACTACGCTGCCAGGGACTCAAATCTTGCAGTGTCAGACGTGTCCCCTGCTTAAGCCAGTAGATGTCCAGCCCTCTCTGAAGTTTGCCAGAGAGCATTTGGATGGTCCAGAAGAGGATTGGGAGAATGTCACATGGTCAGATGAAACCAAAGTAGAATTTTTTTGGTGAAAACTCAACCGTGTTTGGAGGAAGAAGAATACTGAGTTGCATCCAAAAAATGCCTACTGTGAAGCATGGGGGTGGAAACATCATGCTTTGGGGCTGTTTTTCTGCAAAGGGACCAGGACGACTGATCCGTGTAAAGGAAAGAATGAATGGGGCCATGTATCGTGAGATTTTGAATGAAAACCTCCTTCCATCAGCAAGGGACGAACGTGGCTGGGTCTTTCAGCATGACAATGATCCCAAACACACCGCCCGGGCAATGAAGAAGTGGCCTAGCCCTTCTCCAGAGCTCAACCCCATAGGAAATATTTGGGGGAAGTTGAAAGTCCACGTTCTCCAGCGACAGCCCCAAAACACCACTGCTCTAGAGATCAGCATTGACGGGTGGGCCAAAATACCAGCTACAGTGTATGAAAACCTTATGAAGACTTACGTTTGTGCTCTGTCCTTGCCAGAAAAGGTATATAAGAAAGTATTCACATTATCAACTTTTTGTTATTGACCAAATACTTATTTTCCACCATCATTTGCAAATAAGTCTTTAAAAATCAGACTTTCTGGATATTTTTTTTCTTTTTAAGTGGAAGAACTTGCACAATTGGTGGCTGACTAAATACTTGTTTGGATAAGATAAACAAATAGCAATACATATTTTCAGTCGACCATGAGAGTATATACCGATTAATGGACTATCAACTAAATGAGATAAAAGGCTGTTTACAAAGCACTATTGCTATCACCTTACTAGTCAAATGTTATTCACTTGATCAAGAGCCATGTAAACCCAAGCTCTGATCAGAATCAGTCCATGTTGTGTGACAGTGCCTTCAGCTTGAGTCATGGTGTTTGTGGAAAGTGTCTGTGTGTGTGCGTGTGAGAGTGTGTGTGCGTGTATACGTACAGTTGTAGTCGGGCTGGAGCGTGATGGTGGTCACCTGGAAGAAGGCCTGGAGCAGGAGGAAGAGAAGGCTGGATACACACACGGCAGTGACACAGCGGGATGGACTACCTGCACGCACACACACAAACGCACACACACACACACACAAACGCGGCAAATCTGAAACATGTTTTGTCTGATCAAAAACAGGGAGAATATTTTTTGCTCCATCCACAGTAATATCAGCAACTTCTATCAGAAATTGGCACACACACCTAAATAATATAAAGAAGACAAAACTAACCCAAACAACAATGCGTATTCGAAGAACACTCAAATGTATTTGACAGTTTTGCAGCACAATTGGCCATGGCCACACTGCTCTCTCCTGGTTGCGCACACTATTGAGGGTAAGTAAGTAAGTAAGTAAGTAGTAATCTTCATTTATATACCGCCTTTCACAGACCAGAGTCACAAAGCGGTTTACAATTGTTATTTTTGGGCATTTATCTCTCACTCCACACAGAGATGGGAGCGGGGTCACCAGTACAGGAGGCACATGCCAGACCTATTGTACATGTTTTAGTGGTAGGGGAAACTGGAGCACCCGGAGGAAACCTACGCAGCCACGGGAGAACATGCAAACTCCACTCAGGAAGGCCCTGTTACGACCGGGATTGGAACCCAGGACCTTCTTGCTGAGAAGCGAGAGTGCATATCTGCTGCTTCCCTTGGCCTCCTGCTCGACTGCAGTCTCCATCATTCAAGGGAAGTCAATAATATCAGGTTGATTTGGATAATTTCGTAAGATAAACAAAGTACTCCAAAGAAAACACAACATACGTATATTTTCAGAATTTGACAGAGAATATATTTGTTAAATCATCAAATAAAGGACAGGCCAACAGTTTAGCTCCATCTTCACTGGTATCAAGAACTTCTGACACAAACAGGTCATGATGAGCAGATAGTAGAACTGTTTAAACTGGACAAAACATGACTGACTGGCCAAGTTCCAGCTTCTTCCCTCAGGAAAAAACATGTTGATCTAAAGATGCAGAACATAGCACCATGCCAACAGCTCCCTGAGTGAAAAATGCGTTTTGAATTGTTTCTGTGTGACATGTAATTATTCTGCAGCACACTGTTAGTATGCTTTTATATTACATATTATATTATAGTTAGTGTTTTTATGTTTTTCTCTGGGGCACAAATATTCTAATTGAATCGCAATCGAATCTATTCTGTTTTTTGTTTTTTTCAATAATGTTTTCATTCTTTTCAAAACAATAACAACCACATTCAACATTTTACTATGAACATTGAATCCAAAATACAAAAGTGAACATTTTATCAAAATGTCAATGTGAATCATACAACATCAGTTTGGTTCAGTTTGGTTCAGTTTTGGCCTAATCCTGTACTTCTTTTGTTCAGAAGAACCTATTAAAAAGAACCAATATAGCATGAATCATGATCACTTGTTCTAAATACAGAAAAACATTATATCTAATTATATATCCAGAGTTTATAGTCATTATATACGATCATCTTATTATCTATCTAAGGGTGTATTCAGACCTGAAAAGTCCTTTGCTCTGCTTGCTTGATCCGAATCAAAAGCGGACCAAACTTTTTTCTTTTGCTCCGGTTCGTATTCAGACTGTCCTTTCTGCAAGTGAACTTTTTTATATAAACATATTGACACGTGTGACGATCGGCGCTCCTATTGGACAGTGAGAGCTCACGGAGGATAGACGCGAAACCGGCAGAAAACAGTGAGGGCTCGTGTGTGCAGCATGTCTGCTCTGCCTCTGTTTGCTCCACCTCGTACCACGTACAAAACCGCGTATTTGTAGAGTGGGCTAGATCCACCTGCGCGTACGCGCACCCCGCTACATCCTTGAATGTATCCAGTGCATTGTAAAGCAACATCACTGACAATAGAATGGTACATCATCTGCCCCCTGTGCCTCGTCCCTCACTGACATTTCAAAAGCGCAGACAGACACATAGATCATGTGTTTGGACGCGGTGTTGTACGTGTTGCGGTGGACAGCTCCAGATCCTCTTTCAGAGACGTCTCCGCTGCATTTCTCTTACATCGCGCTGCGGACATGTTTTAAACGCGTTGCTCCGTCACAGTTTATTGTCAAAGTTGTTCATTTGTAGGGAGTATAACCTGAACAACATTTCTAATGACTTAGTGAATGTAAACAGCGTCCCACAACACTGACCTGAGCAGCTGCAAGGTCTGCAAGTTAACCTGGAGCTGAGGTGGGACAGTGGTGTGTCCACTCACCAAAGGCGCTCACAATAGCGATGTATAAACTCGGGGCCAGGTCCAGAGCAACGTTAGCATTAGGACATGTTAAATAAGCAGCAGGGCACACGAAGAGTGTCATGAAATCGCCACGAAAGCAGCGCATTTCAAAGATGTAGCGGGGTGAGCGTACGCAGACACGCAGGTGGATCTAGCCCACTTTACAAATACAACATGTGTTTCACCGTCTGCTGTCGTCTTTCAGTGACAACCTCTTGCTGCTGTCATGTTTTACACACACATTCGTCCTATCACAGTTGCATGCTCATTATTAGTCACATTATTGCTCATTCATACAACCCGAACGTAATTTTCCTGGTTTGTGATAGAGATCACCTACAGCATTAATTCCACATGTAATTTGCTTTTCTAAATCAACATTTCTTATGACTGTAGTCTATGAGAACAGTGTGTGAGAGCAGGCGATGAGCATGTGTTTGTACATCACTGTTGTGAGCATGTTTAGTGAATGAAAACAACCCAGCTCCAGGTTAAACTGCGCACCTTGCAGCTGTTCAGATCAGTGTAGTGGGAAACAGTTCGCGAGGCACAGACAGTATTTGGAACAGCAACAACACGTCTGACTTTACGTTGATTATATCTAATAGCAATCCTTCCTCAGAAACACTACGTGAAATGTGTCTGTATTTCGAACTTTGGACATCCCGCAGAGGCAGAGGACTTTTATTGTGAAAAATATCTGAGCCACGCCCACTTTCAAGCATTTTGATCTATGAGTAGGTAGAACTCGCTCACCGGACCAGGATTCGTTTGTGTGTATTCACACCTGCATGAAAGCTTCGGATCAGAGTTCCAAACAAATCCTGGTCCGTTTAAAGTGGATCAAATGTGCAGGTCTGAATACACCCTTAAATAATAGATCCTGTTTGATGTGTTCATAACCTAAGCTCTTATTATTCCTCCTTCTATTCTGCTGTGGTGTGCACAACTATGACACTGAAATCTCCCGACTGACGAACTTGATCTTTTCTTATACAAACTTTGCAATCAATATCAACACATTATGAAATAACCTCCAAAAGGTTTCTTAAATGTAGCTAAATGTAGCTGTCTTTTTTTTTGTTTTTACGAGAGATCAATGGTGTATTATTAGAAATATTAGAAATGCCTATTTCAAGTCAAGCTAAGGTTTTTTGAACTAATTTAATGTTATTGAAATAATTAATCAAGTACGAGTAACTTAGTAAATACTTTAGTCTGCAGGCATCATTTCAATCGTCTCTAAACTCAAATGAAATGTTCTGACTCCGAGTGAACAGTCAGACAGGGGTTCACAGGTTTTGTCATGAAGCCAAACAAAGAGGCAGTGTGAGTGTGATGATGTCACAGGTGAACCAGGTGTGTGTGTGTGTGTCATGCGTGTGTGTGCGTGTGTGTGTTTTAGCCATAGACTGTCTGTGCCTGTGTGAAAGTTTGTGTGTGCGTCTGTGCACGTGTGGGCGTGTATGCGTGTGTGTGTGTGTGTGAGTCTGAGCTCAGCACAGAAGAACGCTGTCTGAACATAGACAATAAAGAAGTAAAGTAAAGTCAGAGTCCTGGTGGAGCTCCTCTGACAACACACACATCATGTCTGACTCAGCAGAGCGTCACATCCAGCTGCGGCACGGGAAACAGAACTCTAACAAAACTATCTCGTGAGAGCTTGAGTTAGCCCAACTGAAGCCCCTGAATGGGACATAAAATACAAAATGTCCTCTTCTCAGCTGTCCTCTCGGCCCTTGTTCTACAACTCGAGTCTTGAATTTACAGCCTGTCCATCAACTGTTTTCTTCTCTGAACTGTGCTGGTGAATCGACAGCTTTGTGACGTTCTCTGAGATAACAACTGTTGTGATATAGGGCTTTGCAAATTGAATGGAATTGAACTCTGGGCACCCGCAGGTGGTGCTCCTCAGAGTCCGAATTGGTTCATATGGCACCAACATGTCGCAGCTGTAAGGAGGGACTTGTAGACAAGCAGAAGCTAGTGCAGGGACCTGAGAACTGGACTAATGTGATGGTACTTCCTGGTTCTAGACAGGAACTGTGTCTCATCACTCACTTGTGTTAGGAGTGGGTTGAGGCAGCAGCGGAAGCAGCAGCAGCAGCAGGATGTACACCAACGAAAAGACACTGAAGCGTACGCTGGAGGCTGGAACACACATGGGAAGCACATGAGGAACATACGCTTCGACAAATACTAACTATTCAAACAAAACAACTTTTTTTTATCATTTAAAAGGAAACATTTTATACAAACGTCTTCTCTTTCTTTATCAAAAACTTTCTCAATGCTTTGTTAGACTGTGAGTCATGATGACCACCATACAGTATATATGGTTTGGGAATTTGCCTTCAAATAAGTCGTAACATGTTGGTTACATGAAAGGCAAATGCAAATGCAGTGTGGTCAGTAGTGTGATGGGGGACCTGTGGGAACACCAGCGTCCACAGTGGGGCAGCCGCCGCAGTTAAATGCCAAACTGTTGTTAGGCAAGACACTTAACACACATTGCCTAGAACGATTATCTGGTGAGTGTGTCTGAATGGTCTCTCTCACTGATCTCTCTGATCTCACTCTGGCCTCTCTCTCTCCGGTTTCTCTCACTGTTTTCACTCTCTGATGGTAAAGCAGCACAATCTTCTAGAAAATGCCTTTAGTTCCTGTAAATTCCTTGGCCCCCTTGCACAAAATACACATTTCAATGAAGTGATGATTGGAAAATGAAAAACACATTTATGTTATAATTAATATCTTCCCACATAACAAAATCTCTAATTCATGGACAAAACTTTGACATCTATGGCTGAGCATACACTTTCAAACTCAACTGTAATTTGAGAAATTTCCAATGAATGTATCACCTGTGCCAATTTACACCTTGTTAAAATCATGTAAAACATGGATCTTAATCTATGAATACAAAACTAGCTCCAGAGTGTTGCAATAGAAAGAGTAAAGAATTGTGACTATAGTATAAGAATATTGTAAATCTGCCACAAAGCACTTTACAATTGCTATGGGCATTTGTCTCTCACTCCAGAGGGTCACCAGTACAGGGGGCGTATGCCAGACCTCTTGTACATGTTTTTAGTGGTAGGGGAAACCGGAGCACCCGGAGGAAACCTTCGGGGAGAAGGTGCAAGTTACGACCGTGCCGCCCATGCTGAATGTACAGTCTTTAGATGGCGGGATAAGTTATTATCATCCGTTTTTTGTTAAAGTAAGATGTCTATATACATACAAGTATAATATATGTATAATAATAATAATATTAATAACAATAATGATAGATAATGATGATGATGATGATAATAATATGTGTATAATAATGGAGCTTACCTGCGGTGAGGGCGAGGGGCAGCACGAGCCTGAAGAGCACGCACACGTACGGCCGGCGGGACATCCTGCAGCGTAAGGACAGCTCCAGGAGGAACGCAAACAAAATGACAAACAAACGAAATGCGATTTTCCCCTTTCACGCTCGACGGTGGCTCTGCAGCTCCAACAGTTTGGTTCATCACACTCGTCACAGCTTCAGATCTACTTTTTATAACAGGACAGTGGAGGAGAGAGGACCACCCTCACTCAGCCAATCGGTGCTCAACTTAAAAGCGTCACGTACCAACGTCCAGGGCTTACAATGTGACAATAAATAGTGTTCTCTAATGACATTAAGTCGACATAGTGGTCTAATTAGTTCACAGAATGTTGCTTTCACAGCTGTCTGTGCGAATACACATTATAAAACATACATAGTACCCAGCTTCAGTTATTCCGATGTGGTTTCACTGCAAATGGCAAATAAACTGAATATTGCACAAGGAGTCAAAGCTATAAGTTATAGCATTTTTAAAAAAACTTGATCTTTTTTATTTGGATAAAACAGCATATCTTCCAGCCTGTAAAACTGTTACTAGTTTATTCAGTATTACTATATTCAAGGCTCACATAAAGGAACGAAAAGTTCTTTCTTTCACATTAGTCCAGTTCCAAAGTTAGTTGCAGTAGTGTTAAATACCTGCCCTTGAGTAATCACAGAGCATTCACAAAGTATGAATGAGATGTCGCCCCGTGAAAGTTCTATAACTTAACTTCTACTTGAATTTCGCTTCTCTCCACCACTGCGTGCTGAAGTCTGCTTGTGCGCGGTCCAGCGGGTGTCTGACCGGCGACCGATGGACCAGACCCGGCGATCACCCCCGTAGTGACCAGCTCTCTGGGACAGAACCGCGCGTACTGTGTGTAGTCCGCAGGGAGACGGGGATAAACGCTGATAATCCGTGCGTGTTCGTGCGCGCTGGCATCCCTCCTCAAACCCGGGACTCAAGTGTCAGGTTACGGGGAGCGCAGCGCGGGGGCCCCCTCCCCCTCCACAGAGTTGACTGGGGAGCTGGCCAATCACAGCCCGAGCAGGCTGACCGCAAAACCTCAAGACTTGTTGATATTGGAGCCAGCCAGAGCGCCTCCAAAAACAAGCAAAAGTAGACCTGAAGGCTGCACTGGGCATCCGAGGTGGCAATAGTAGACTACTCTTCTTATGTAGGAGTATTAGGGCTTGAACTGGCCTTAACAAAATGGACAAACACAAAACATAAAAATATTCAAGGGATCCAGCGTTTAAGGTCTCTGTTGTCACCTGTTGGTTGGCTTCTTTTGCTGTGACACATATTGTCATATAAACTGTTTGCTCCGTCTTCATTCTGTCTGAAGAAAACTGTAAAGCTGAGAATTACCGTAGTCGATGCATGGCTCAAGTTTTATCTTGGCCCAAATCATGACAAACGAACTGCTATATATGCCTTTCTACTTCTACTTGGTATACAAATTCAGTCTTTTGATTTACTGCGTCTTTTTGCTGTGTCCACTGGGTTCAGGATTCAGTGGGAGCACCCCCTCATCAGATGGCCCCCCAGCTACCCACTGGACATGTGGTTATTGGTCAAAGAAGACAAACAGAAATGTTCAGAACGGATAAATATCCCAGAACATGTCCGGAAATCCTCCTTTTTCAGCAGGAAGAACTCCAAAAAACCTAGATTAACATTTGCGAGAAGCACATGGAAGAAATATTCTTCTCAACTACTACTTCTACTGCTATCAATCTATCATCGACTATTAGGCTACTACAATTATATTCATACTCATTCACGCTCTACGTGTTGAGTGTCTCATTATCGTTTGTGTGTCCTTCCCAGTAGCAGCAGCAAAGCTCTTGCCTGTAGTTTTTATATGTGCTCATTAACTTGTTATGAACATGAAGGGTGCATGCTTGTACTTTGCAGGGGGCTGGTCCGGCCTGCATCGGGACGGCTAATTGTGTCCATGTGTGACTGCAACAATGTAAAGCAAAGGGAATAGGTGGAGGATGTGCGTTTTAACATCCCAAAGTTGAGGATTCATATCTCAGACATATGGGTGATCGGAACTACTGAGACCGTTGCCAGGTCACGGGGGTCGGTTAAAAAGCAGAGACACCCAGACCACCCCCTCCACACACACTTCCTCCAGCTCATCTGGGGGAATGTGAGGTGTTCCCTGGCCAGAGAGACTAGTCCCTCTGGGTGCGGCACGGTGGCACATGTGGTTAGCGCCTCACAACAAGCTCCTGGGTTTCATTCTTTCTTTCTTGTGTGGAGTTTGCATCACTGTCACATAGGCCTGGTCTACCTCTGCTCAGATAAACTGAATCCACATCATGTCGTGTCTGCAGAGTCCTGTGAAAGCAACACTCAGGTCTGTTCGCTGCAGTAAAGAGTGTTCCTCGAGGTCCCAGATAAAACCCACTGTGATGTTTCTTCGCTTGTTCTGTCCGTGTGTCAGATCTCCTCTCTCCTCCTCCACTAAACAGTGGCTCTATGACCGGTGTTCAGCCATCAGGTCCATCCAAAGTCTTCCGCTTCATCCGTTGCCAGGTCGCAGGGAGAGCAGTCAAAGCACAGTATCTCTGACTGCAGACGATGCTCCCTCTTCACCAAAATTGTCTGATACAGCGGACGCATTACAGATACATCAGTCGACAGTTACTTTTAATCATCTGCTCTTGCCACGTTTAAGAAGATATAGTGCATCTGACTGCTCTGTAGGGTTAAAGCACCTGGACACAAGGAACGTGAATTAATAAGAATTGATAACAACACATTTTCTTTAATTTCAATCCAGTGCAGGGACTTGAGAACTGAACTAATATAGTTACTGGTTCTAGTCAGGACTCAGGCTGCAGCTTTTTGAATGTACTGCAGCTGTTTTACAGCCTGTTTGGAGAGACCTGTGAGCTGCCATTGCAGTAGTCTAACCTACTGGAGACCAATGCAGGATGAGAAATTCCAAGTCTGTTTAAAAAGTGTTTGATGGTAAAAAGTTGATGAGGCTGTTGGTAGTTTTAAATATGAGTTACATTTAACCCTTGATCTGATTATGAGACTGGAGGTGAGAGATAACATCCTCTCTTTATAGTGGGGAAAAGACCTTAACTTGAGTTTTGTCTGTGTTTAGATAGAGAAAGTTTTTTTGCATCCACTCCTCGATCTGATGCCAGGATATGTATCCAGGAACCTGTCCCCGCCATCTGAAATGATGGCAGCCTATTTCAGCATGTTGTTACTGAGCTGTGCTCAGTTAGTAGAGCATTGGCCTTTGACCCTGAAGGTCGTGTGTTCAAGCCCATCACAAGACTTTCTCTACCAACATTAGAGTCTGCTGTTGCTGTATCCTCTGGGAACACCAGCCACAGTGGGGCGGCTGAGGCTGTAAAGTGCCAAACTGCTGTTGTGTCCTTAGGCAAGACACTTCACCCCCATTGCCTAGAATGAGTCTGGTGTGTGTGAATGGTTGGTGGTGGTCGGAGGGGCCGATGGCGCATACTGGTTGCCTCGCTTCTGTCAGTGTGCCCCAGGGCAGCTGTGGCTACAGCAGTAGTTTATCACCACCGTGTTTGGAGTGAATGAATAATGACATGTAAAGTCTTTGAGTGTCCAAAAAAGCGCTTTATAAAACCGATGCATTATTTGGCTCAGTTGGTAGAGCATTGGCCTTTGGGCCTGAAGGTCGTGGGTTCAAACCCACCGTAAGACCTACTTCACGACTCCCACTGATGACTGCTGTCATTGTGTCTTTGGGCAAGACACTTAACCCCACTTTGCCTGAAGCCCCCACTGAAAGATCTCAGCTCCTGTGGACTCACCACCTGCAGGAGGATCAGTGAGGGGCTGGTGCTAATTGCACTGGGTGCAGCTCTGACTGCCACCCTCCCGACCCAGTAATGGATTAAGGGGAAGAAACCGGATGGATGGATGGATTATTATTGAAGCAAGAGAAACATTTTTATTTTAGTTTTTATAGCTTAATGCAATACATTTGAGTGGATATCATACAGAAAACAGTCTTCACATAAACACCCAATAAATAGTTACCAAACTGATCCAAATATAATAATAAAGTCATGGAAATAGATGCACACATATTTAGGCTGTCCTCAAAAAACATTTTGAGAGGACAAATGAATGCACAATTATTGACCTGCAGAGTGAGGTTCAGGAAGAATCTACAGGGTTGAAAATGGGACTGATCCACAGGAAGTCCTGCCCACTCCCACTCTGGTCATGGAAGACAAACATGCATTCATTTGACCCTTAGGAGTTTCATAATATACAAATATAAATAGCTGGAAGGCACGTGCCATATTAGTATCCACAGCGCCGGTGTTTTTAGAAATGAGTTGAAATGAAATGTATGTTTTGTCTTGTACTGCCACCTGATTGTGGTGGAGGGGCTGGATGAAGGCCGCTCTCGGACTGCAGTCTGCAGCCTTTCAGCAAGTCGGCCCTGGATTCCACCCCCAAGCATCAAAGGGCCGTACAGAGAGGAGTTTGCATACTCTCCCTGTGTCTGTGTGGGCTAGCTCTTCCCCTCCTAATTCTAATACTAAATAAATTCTGGTATTTGAATTCAATGGTTAATCATAACTGCACACTGTTCCACTGGGGCCATGTCCATGTGTGGAAAGGCCCAATCCATGAACCAAGCACATGCAGTACGGCCTTCATGACAGATCTCCAAAAAAGAAGAAAATGGAAAGGTCCACATCCATTCCACAGAGAAAGTTGAAATATGTTTCAAATCAACTGTTTTCAGAATCCTGTGGAGAAATGGTAATACCAGCTCTTAGAAGTATGGCAGCATTTCAATGTCCAAACCAAAGCCAGTTCTTGTGGTTAAACGAGTCCTGCCTCCACACACATCCTGTAGAAGTGTCCACGCTGCTGAAGGAGGACTGCAGGGGGCGCCATTTCCACCACTGAGCCCTGGACCATCACCACCACCCTGCAGACAGAGGATACTGTAAAGCACCAGTGCAAAGTAATACATCACAATAACTTGCAAAATTTTTATTGAGATTCATCAATTTATAAGTCAAATCTTTTATAGTGAGATTTTTTTGTATTCTTTTTGTTTATAGGTGTATTTACAATTTTTTGTCCTCCGAGATGAATGCTGTTGAGCAATACAACAACATTAAAATTGAGCTCGATGTTTAAGATCTCCCCTGTGTGTGTGCCTATTTGTGTATCACTGTAAAAAATACAACTCAAAATTGTTCACGTTACTCAGATATTTGCATTCATTGACAATAAAATTGCCAGTTGGAACTGCAACTATCTGTTGTGAGCCTCTTGAACTCACTTTCAGAAGTTTCTGATGAAAAGTTCATCTTATTTGATATATTAAGTTGATTTTACTTTGAAGTTGAAGTGAACTTCTGAAAGTGAGTTCAAGTGGCTCACAACAGAAAGTTTCAGTTCCAACTGGAAATTTTATCGTCAGTGAATGCAAAAATCTGAGTAAGGTGTACAATTTTGAGTTGTCGTTTTTACAGTGCACCGAGCTAGAGTGAGGTCAACTTATCTGTGTTTGCTCATTTACATATTTGTCATGGCAACCAGCTGCATTCAACATTTAGAAAAAACTAATTTGACCAAAAAAATCATTGGATTTATTTTTACCAACCGTAATCGACAGGGCCAAGCCAAAGTAGCCCTGTATATATTCCCTGGGTCAGTCTTAGAAACATTAGTTTTCCACTAATCAGGTTTACAGTGTGTGTGGCACTGTGGCTGAATGGATAGCACTCTCGCTTCAAATTGACACGAAGGTCCTGGGTTCGAATCCCGGTCAGAACAGGGCCTTTCTGAGTGGAATTTGCATGTTCTCTGTGTCTGCATAGGTTTCCTCCGGGAGCTCCGGTTTCCCCTACCCAAGTGACCTTGGTCTGTAAAATGCGCTATATAATTAAACATCATGATGGTTTAATGTGGGGGCTAATTTAAACTCAAAATAGTAAGTTATTGTAGGGAACAGTAATCTGAACTTAAAAAAGTAAGTGAAAGCGGAAGTGAAAGTGGAAGTGAAATTTCCAGTAACTTAGTTGGCAGAACTTGGAAAACTTAGCTGACACAACTTAATAAGTGTAGTTCTTCAAAACGTGATGAATTAAGTTAATGCCTTTGTGATGGCAAGCGGCCTAGACTCGGGGACGCCAACTCACCCCCCCTGCTGCTCTATTCAATTAAACCTGCAGGAAGGAGCCGGGCTTCCCCCCGCACCTACAGACAATGACTGTCTCACCCTTGTCCCTTTTGCATCTTGCATCTGTATGTCTGCATCTCTACATCCTGCATGTCCATTGTCTCTCTGTTTGCATCTCTATGGCACGGTCTGATTGCCTCCCCCCGGACTAGGCGCCTCGCCTCTGGATGCGCCTCCTGTACTGGTGACCCCCTCCCATCTTTTGTGGGCGTGACTGTCTTCATGTGTTGTCTATGTAAACAGGAACCTGGTCTGGCCGCGTCAGAGCTGATGTATGCTGCCTTTGTGTATGTGAGCTCTCCGCACGTGTGTACAATAAACTTACGCTCCTGATTAAGACAAATACCTTTGAGCTTTCTCCTTCATTGGGGTATGTAATTCTACAACAATTTGGCGTTGCTGGCATGTCTTGGCATGGGATCTTTCCGGCGGGGACGAGCGGCTGCGTTTGGCCGACCTGGAACAACACCAGCCTCTGCTCTATTTGGAGACAAAGGGAGGGCGCGCTCGTCCTGCGCGTGAAAGGAATCTTTGGCCACACAAGACCAAAAAGAACCTGATTTGGTGAGTTTTGTCTTTTCATCTGCGTAACGAGCCCAGGGCAGCACTTAAGTGTACACGGGGATTTGTTTATTTACGTATTTTTGGGGTATTTCATTCATTGCCACAGCATAGACTGTGTGCGGGATTTTTGGGGGTATTTTGTTCTAGATTGAAGCTAGCGGCTGCGTGTTAGTATCGCTCAGTAAGCGACCCTGAAGATTATCTCTAGTGCCTTCAGCCAGGCCCGCTCCGTTTCAAGAACGCGCGCTCGTTGGGTATATAGAACCCACGGGGGGGGAACGGAGCGCTCCAAAGTGGGTAAGAGCAGGGAGAGACTAAACGGGTTAGGTCCATTGTTCTGTACGAGAAAATGGGGAAAAATCAATCTAGAGATGCCACACCGAGGGGAATGTTAACGTCCCCCGTTACAATGGCAATGGGAAAACAGTTCGATTCCGTTTGGAGGCTCTATGTCTCTGAATCAATTACGCATCTTGCGTGATAATTTAGAAGAAGAAAGGAAAAAAAAAATATATATATATACTTGGTTTTAAGAATATCACGGCAAAAGACGTTAGAGAAAGAAATATGTAAAAACAATAGCTCCTCCGCTTTTCACCGAAGCGGAGAACGCACAGGCGGACACACACACACACACACACACACACACACACATCCCACACACCCCCACCCTACCGCCCTTTTTCCCCTACTAACAATAAGTGTGCACCCAAACAAGGCGTTGGGTTTTTAAAAAATGAGCAGACTACTGTTGTCCCCTTTTCCTCTCCCTGTCCAGGTCTGTCGGCGCTTTCCTCCGCGCTCTGTCCTCTGCCTCAAAGCCCCAGCACAAGCCCCACGCCCCAACCACGGCGGCGCTCGCACCAGCTGAGACCCCGCAAGAAGTGGGCCCAAACCCGGGAGCAGAAGAAGAAGCGGCGGAAGCAGATACACGCTCAGGAAACCGCAGAAGAAGAAGCGGCGGAAGCAGATACACGCTCAGGAAACCGCAGAAGAAGAAGCGGCGGAAGCAGATATGTGAGACACCGACAACTGCTTTGGAGGCCAGAGACAAACTGCTCCAAATCCCGTGACTGTGGCCCCACGGAGGCGGCAGCGTGAAACACCAAACGCACCCGCTGAAACCTCGTTGAAAGTTGCCCCCGCACCGCAAACAGAAGAAGCCATTGGGACCGGCACGTTTGGGTATTAACCAACCCTCATGGACCACAGGCTAACATTATTTGAACGCTTTGGGCTACCTGGGCCTCCTGCGGACTTTGAGAAACTTCCACAGCCCGGCGGAAAGACTGTGTGCTCGACATGGGTCGAAGGACTGTTACCGGAGGAGGCGTTAAAGGCAGAGGAACGCTCAAGCTCACACGGGGCCAGAGGACGGCAGAGGCGGGCGTGGAGGAAACACGAGCGACTGATCAAACCCGGGTTCACATTCGTCACCAAAGCGACCGCTCATGTAAGTTTGAACAAGAACAAATTGCAATTGGCACTTTTTAGAGATAATTCATGCTGAATTCCCGTAATATACGCTAACAATCTGTGGTGTAAGAGTTAAAATTCTGGATGATTCAGGGACAAAAAAAAAATCCTGTGTTAAAAACAAAACATAAGGTGACAGATTTTGGTCCTTTCTCAAATGAGTGGTCGCTTCACAAAACTCATGGCTTCAGTGTAGCGAAGATAGGCTACAAACGGAGTATGTTTATTGGGATAGGCACTACTCTATGGTATCTGTGTTACTTAATGAGCAACAAAAAAATTTTATCGTGAAACAAAGGTGAAGTACTAAAGTTTGAGACTAATTTAAATTTTTTTAATGAATCCGACCTGGCTTTATTGAAAAAGAAAAAAGAAGGAAAATAAACATTTTCAAGTAACAAGAGCTCATTAGAGATATAGGGGACACAATCTGTGATAAGCCCGAAGTACAGACCACGTGGTAAACACTAAAGTTGGAAATGGATCCTTTTAGGAAAAACCTCTTAGGGCTCTGCATGTTCTGCAGGCTCTGAAAGTTGCAACAATAGAAATAGCTCATGAGACAATTGTAATTGGACATGGAAAAATATAACAAAGTTAAAATTACAGGCCTTCTGTGTGTTGTTTATATGTTTGTGTGTGTTATATGTTTGTGTATGTTATATGTTTGTGCGTAATGTCAAGTACACTACGTTGACCTTAACAGACTCTGGACCAACATACTAACGTGGGGAATCGGCCTGTGATGTGAGTGTGATGTGAGTGTGGTGTGAAATGAGGAGTGAAATGAGGAATGCTGAACGGAATCATGGAAAAGCAAACGTTTCTGTAATGTTTTAATGTGATCATGGAATAATTATTTTTTGTCAACAGCATACGGTGTAAGTACTAGAGATTCAAAGATAACAAGCTTTATTGAACAGGTGTAAAAGTGAGAGTACTCTGAGAAAAGTACTCTGCGGAAAGTACTCTGAGATGAAGTACCTTGCTGAAGATATTGGGAGTCCCTCCCTCTGCTGTTTGTCCTGACAGTGAGTCGGTCCAACCGCAGTGAGCTGCCGTTGGTTGAAGGACAACTTTGGTTTGTAAACTCACATTTAGGGGAGTATAAAATTAGAAACATACATTTTGTTAAGTCTGTATTTGGCTGATGTCACACACCGTCTGTCAATGCAGTTATGTTTTGCCCAATTGGAAAAAAGATTGACAAGCGAAAGTGGGCATTTTTTGTATTTTTTGTGTTCTAATATTTCTTTTTCAGATGAGAGATAAACTACCCCTGCTTCAGGGATGACAGTAGTATGGATCATGAGGAAATGAGCCTCTACCTTGGCACCAAAGCCCACAATATGAATTGAGGACGATCCGGGAGAAAGCAACTGGAGATGAACGGAACAGTAAATCTACACACACACACTAGGTCTCCCTGACCCAACCTGGCCATTCACTCAGACTGTGGATGAGCGGTGTGGGTGCATGGTGTCGGTACTTTTGCAGTCTCACGGAGGGCCGCTGAGACCCACTGCTTACTTCTCAGCAAAACTCGATCCCGTGGCAGCAGGGTTGCCTCGCTGCCTGCGGGCTGTGGCTGCCGCTGAGAAAGCGGTCCTAGCATCACGTGACCTTGTGGGATACACTGAACTAACTTTGCTTGTGCCCCATGCTGTTTCCCTGATCCTGCTAGAGCAGAAAACCTCTCACCTTTCTGCGGCTCGTTGGCTGAAATACAACACGGTGCTCTTTGAACTCCCCAATGTCACGGTGAAAAGATGCACACAGCTGAACCCCTCCTCACTGCTGCCCACGCCAGAGGAAGGGGAGGCACACTGCTGTATCGCCACAATAGAACAGATATGCACTCCCAGGCCAGACCTGAAAGAGGTACCTCTGACTAATCCTGACTTGATTTTTTATATACAGATGGAGCCGCGTCACGTGACAACACTGGGAAGAACCGAGTCGGCTATGCTGTGTGTTCTGATTTTGATACTATAGACTCTGGTAGTTTGCCCCCACCACCATTCAGCACAAACCGCTGAACTGATCGCGCTCACCAGGGCTTGTGAGCTGGCAGCGGGCAAAACTGTTAACATATTCTGTGATACGCGTTATGGTTTCTCTGTGGTGCACGACTGGGGGGCACTGTGGAAACACCGCAATTTTATGAAATCTGATGGTAAACCAATTCTTAATTCCACACAGGTTGAACATCTGCTGAAAGCTGTAATGTTGCCCTTAGAGATCGCTGTATGCAAATGCCAGGCCCACACTAATGCCACTGATCCCATCTCTGCAGGGAATCGGCGCGCGGACAAGGCAGCGGCATACTCACCTCTACCCACACACACACACTACCTCACTCAAGACGTTGATATTTTCTCCTCTCTGTCAACAATGCAGGCACAGCAGAGACGATGCTGTGGGAGGGAAATGGGGCTCAACGACGGCATGGTGTGTGGCTGGGACCAGACCTAAAACCGTGCTTACCACGGCATTTCTTCAGACATTTTGCAATTTTAGCACATGGTCGAGACCATGCCTCAAAAGGAGGGATGTGTAATTTAATCACACAAAATTGGTATACGAAGGGGTTTACGGCATTTGCACAGAGATTCTGCCAAACATGCGCTATATGCCTCGCGCACAACCCAGGTAAGTCCCAAATTATCCAACAGGCTGCTCATCCTCCGCCCCTGCGCCCATTTCAACATGTCCAAAGGGACTTTGTTGAACTCACACCATGCCAAGGTAAGAAATACTGTCTGGTTCTGGCGGATCTCTGGTCCAAATGGACTGAAGTATTTGCATGTAAGCACGCCACGAGCAACGCGGTGGTGAAAGCTCTGCTCACAGAAATTGTGCCACGATGGGGTGTCCCGAGAAAAAATCTCTAGTGACAATGGCAGTCACTCTGTAGCAAAAGTCATTGAGGAAGTAGGTGAATTTCTGGGCATTGATATACGTAAACACTGCAGTTACGCCCCCTGGAGCGGAGGCGCGTGCGAGCGAGAGAATGGCACTCTGAAAAACAAACTTGTTAAAATCTGCGAACAGACAGACCTGTCTTGGATCAAAGCTCTGCCGCTAGCCCTCATGTACATGCGCATGAGAGTCAGGTCAAGGTCAAACCTAAGCCCATTCGAAGTCCTCTTTGCCAGACCGCCCAACTTGGGCGCGGGACCCCCGACAGAGATCTGCCAAGCACCTCTTTGTGTGATGACGACATGCTGTCCTATTGTAAGGAAATTAATGCACTTTTGCCCTCTATTTCTGCCCAGGTCAGGAGCGCCCTGCCACAGGCTGCGCAGGCGGCTCCGCACAAGATCAAGCCAGGCGACTGGGTCCTGGTGAAGGAAACGAGACGACAGCATTGGCGGTCCAAGCGCTGGCTGGGCCCATTCCTCGTCCTCCTGGTGACGGACACTGCCGTTACCACTGTCGTGCGGTGCTGCCACTGAGGGCCATAGACGAGGACACCGAGGGGGGGACGGACCAGGCCCATCCGCGGCTCCCTACGCTGAAGAGGTCGGCCGGCGTGCGACCACCGTCGGTGAAGCAGGCCAACAACAACACCCAGAGAATCCCAGCGTTCCCGAGGCGACCCCCTTTGCCCAACTCCCCTGCCTCCGAATCCCGAGACGACCCCCTGTGGGGCACTAATGTACCCGATGACCACAAATTATGGACCACAGGCCAGAAAATAATGTTAGCATTATTCCCCAGCCTGGGTGTAGGTAAACTAATGCTAAGGACGGAGACCCTGAGCTATAGGTTCTCAGGTTTTGTCAATACCACAGTGGCCATACTTGAATCACAGAGAGTTGAACTTCACGACCTACGTGCTGTTGTTCTTCAGGACCGGTTGGTCCTGGACCACCTGACCGCGTCTGTGGGAGGCGTAGGCACGATCATTGGGTCATCCTGCTGTACATATATTCCGGCTAATGATGAGGACGGAGGTCTTATCCAACAGGGCATAGCCAATCTGACTAGACTCCGGGACGCCATGCAAGCGGACAATGTCACGGACACTCCTCACGGTCTGGACTGGCTCCTGTCCTCCTGGCGGAGTGTGCTCATTAATCTTGGTTTAGCCCTATTGACTGTTATGATTTTATTTTCATGTGTATTACCTATGGTGTTTCGGGCCGTTGGTAAAATGGTATCCACTCACTTTGTGTCCATTCAATACAAAGACCCCGAGGCGGACCTGGCCGCTGTCCCACTGAACTCCGATCCTGATTATATCAGCGATTCGGACGATGACTTTGTCTAACGTTTTTCTTTCTTGTTTACCTTGTTTTTATTTTTCCACTTGTTTTGCTCAGGGACCAAGGTCAATACTCACCCACCTGAATGTGATCTCTGTAAAACTGGGGTTTCTACATTATCACGGGAGAGGAGTGTGATGGCAAGCGGCCTAGACTCGGGGACGCCAACTCACCCCCCCCTGCTGCTCTATTCAATTAACCTGCAGGAAGGAGCCGGGCTTCCCCCCGCACCTACAGACAATGACTGTCTCACCCTTGTCCCTTTTGCATCTTGCATCTGTATGTCTGCATCTCTACATCCTGCATGTCCATTGTCTCTCTGTTTGCATCTCTATGGCACGGTCTGATTGCCTCCCCCCGGACTAGGCGCCTCGCCTCTGGATGCGCCTCCTGTACTGGTGACCCCCTCCCATCTTTTGTGGGCGTGACTGTCTTCATGTGTTGTCTATGTAAACAGGAACCTGGTCTGGCCGCGTCAGAGCTGATGTATGCTGCCTTTGTGTATGTGAGCTCTCCGCACGTGTGTACAATAAACTTACGCTCCTGATTAAGACAAATACTTTTGAGCTTTCTCCTTCATTGGGGTATGTAATTCTACAACACCTTCAACTCAAAAATCCTTCGCAGCTGGTTGCTCTGAAATTTTGAGTTGAACTAACTTTTTCTCTTTTACAGTGTGTACCTATTTGGGTATATGTGTGTGTGCATATGTGTGTGTGCATATGTGTGTGTGCCTATGTGTGTGCCTATTTATGTATAGGTGTGTGTGTGTGTGTATGTATATATTTATATATATATATATTCTATATGTGTGCCTGTGTGTCTGTATATAGGGGTACAGAGGAGTAATCGAAGCAACAGGCTCCAATCACTGCGCTGCCGAACAGAACGTTTCAAAAGCATCCTTTGCTCCTCTGGCTGTCAGACTGTACAACAAACCTGGATGAGTCTTCTGCAGCTGGACACCTGAATTTTGCCTACGGGGATCAATAAAGTATCTATCTATTTATCTATCTATCTATCTATCCTCTTTGTGTGCTTGTGTGTATATGTATGTGTGTGTGTGTGTGTGTGTGTGTGCGTGCCTGCTGTAGTCCATGATGGTGTTGAGTCTGTGTGCAATGGTTAGCACGCTGCAGTCGCTAAAGTGTGTGCGGATGGTGGACTGGATGAGCCGATCCGTCTCCAGATCCACCGCCGCCGTGGCCTCGTCCAACACCAGGATACGGCTCTTCCTCAGCAGGGCCCGGGCCAGGCACAGGAGCTGTCGCTGACCCACGCTGTGCACACACGCACACAAATATAGACACACACAAAAAATGTGCAGGTTCAGACAGCAATCAAATCAGGAAAACTACATGCTTTCAATTAAATCACAGCCTATTTGATTTTTAATGTATACATACAGAGAAAAAGAGTGGTCAAGACTGCATGTATACTGAGACAGGAGTGGTCTGCATGTATACTGAGACAGGAGAGGTCTGCATGTATACTGAGACAGGAGTGGTCTGCATGTATACTGAGACAGGAGTGGTCTGCATGTATACTGAGACAGGAGAGGTCTGCATGTATACTGAGACAAGAGTGGTCTGCATGTATACTGAGACAGGAGTGGTCTGCATGTATACTGAGACTGGAGAGGTCTGCATGTATACTGAGACAGAAGAGGTCTGCATGTATACTGAGACAGGAGAGGTCTGCATGTATACTGAGACAGGAGAGGTCTGCATGTATACTGAGACAGGAGTGGTCTGCATATATACTGAGACTAGAGTGGTCTGCATGTATACTGAGACAGGAGTGGTCTGCATGTATACTGAGACTAGAGTGGTCTGCATGTATACTGAGACAGGAGTGGTCTGCATGTATACTGAGACTGGAGAGGTCTGCATGTATACTGAGACAGAAGAGGTCTGCATGTATACTGAGACAGGAGAGGTCTGCATGTATACTGAGACAGGAGAGGTCTGCATGTATACTGAGACAGGAGTGGTCTGCATATATACTGAGACTAGAGTGGTCTGCATGTATACTGAGACAGGAGTGGTCTGCATGTATACTGAGACTAGAGTGGTCTGCATGTATACTGAGACAGGAGTGGTCTGCATGTATACTGAGACAGGAGTGGTCTGCATGTATACTGAGACAGGAGTGGTCTGCATGTATACTGAGACAGGAGTGGTCTGCATGTATACTGAGACTAGAGTGGTCTGCATGTATACTGAGACTAGAGTGGTCTGCATGTATACTGAGACTGGAGAGATCTGCATGTATACTGAGACAGAAGAGGTCTGCATGTATACTGAGACAGGAGAGGTCTGCATGTATACTGAGACAGGAGAGGTCTGCATGTATACTGAGACAGGAGTGGTCTGCATATATACTGAGACTAGAGTGGTCTGCATGTATACTGAGACAGGAGTGGTCTGCATGTATACTGAGACAGGAGTGGTCTGCATGTATACTGAGACAGGAGTGGTCTGCATGTATACTGAGACAGGAGTGGTGTGAGTCTGCACTGTGTGACGCTCACCTGAGATTCTCCCCTCCCTCGCTGCACATGTGGTCCAGCTGGTGGGGCAGGGCGGACACAAAGGCGCTGAGGTGGGACAGCTCTAGGACGTACCACAGAGCAGAGTCGGAGCAGCTCTCGTACGGGTCCAGGTTCATACGGAGGGTCCCAGAGAACAGCACAGGATCCTGGGAGCACAGAACCATAGAAAATTGAACTCTCTTTCACTATAACCTCTTGTGATGCAAGGTTTTGGACAGCTTGGATGAATATACGGACACTGTGACGTCATACATCCACTTCTGTGAGGATAGCATCATTCCAACAAGGACCAGGGTCATCTATAACAACGACAAACCCTGGTTCACTGCTAAACTCCGGCAGCTCAGGAAAGCAAAGGAGTCTGCTTTCAGGGAGGGGGACCGCAGCGGCTACAAAGCAGCTAAATATCAGTTCAGGAAAGAACTGAAAGCAGCCAAGTCCCGGCACAGAGAACGTCTACAGGAGCAGTTTGGTAACAACGATACTGCTTCTGTCTGGAGGGGCCTACGGGAGATCACCAACTACAAACCCAAAGCCCCCCCCTGTGCTGATGACCACAAGCTAGCTGACGATCTGAACTTATTTTTCAGTCGCTTTGATGCTGCCCCTCACACTCTCCCTCCCCCCCCCCCCCACTACTCTAACGACCCACCCATCAGCCCTGCCCCCAGCCTAACAATAGCCGCTAAAGAGATTAAACAACTCTTCCTGAGGCTGCACCCCCGCAAAGCTCCTGGCCCGGACCACGTGTCTCCGGCCACTCTGAGACACTGCGCCAGTGAGCTTACTCCTGTGTTCACGGACATTTTCAACTCCTCTCTGCAGTCCTGCCATGTCCCGGCCTGCTTCAAATCCTCCATCATTGTCCCCGTCCCGAAGAAGCCCAGGATCACAGGACTCAATGACTACAGACCTGTAGCACTTACGTCTGTCGTCATGAAGTCATTTGAACGCCTGGTTCTCTCCCATCTCAAGTCCCTCACCTCCCCCCTCCTGGACCCCCTGCAGTTCGCCTACAGAGCCAACAGATCTGTAGACGACGCCATTAACCTGGCCCTCCACCACATCCTACAGCACCTGGACTCCCCGGGGACCTACGCCAGGGTCCTGTTCGTGGACTTCAGCTCTGCCTTCAACACAATCCTGCCATCCCTGCTCCAGGACAAGCTCTCCCAGCTCAACGTGACCGATTCCACCTGCAGGTGGATCACTGACTTCCTGACGGACAGGAAGCAGCGAGTGCGTCTGGGGAAAAATGTCTCGGACTCTCGGATTATAAATACAGGAGCCCCACAGGGCTGTGTTCTTTCTCCCCTGCTCTTCTCCCTGTACACCAACCACTGCACCTCCAGCCACGACTCCGTGAAGCTGATCAAGTTCGCGGATGACACCACCCTCATTGGACTCATCTCCAACAACGATGAGTCCGCCTACAGGAGGGAGGTGGACCGGCTGGTGTCCTGGTGCAGTGGTAACAACCTGGAGCTGAACGCCCAGAAGACAGTGGAGATGATTGTGGACTTCAGGAAGAGCACTGTCCCCCCGCCCCCACCCTCCGTGATGGACTCCCCCATCACCTCTGTGGAGTCCTTCCGTTTCCTGGGCACCACCATCACCCAGGACCTCAAGTGGGAGCCGACCATCAGCTCCCTCATCAAGAAGGCCCAGCAGAGGATGTACTTCCTGCGGCAGCTCAGGAAAGCCAAGCTGCCTGCACAGATGTTGGTGCAGTTCTACACGGCCATCATCGAGTCCATCCTCACCTCCTCCATCACCGTGTGGTTCGCTGGAGCCACAGTCAGGGACAAACAGAGACTACAGCGCATTGTGCGCTCTGCAGAGGAAGTGATCGGCCGCAGCCTTCCATCGCTGCAGGACCTGTACGTCGCCCGAGCTCGAGGCCGGGCTGGTCGTATCACAGCCGACCCCTCTCACCCTGCACATGGACTATTCCAACCACTCCCCTCAGGCAGGAGGCTGCGGTCCATCAGGACTAGAACCTCCCGCCACAAGAACAGTTTCTTCCCCTCTGCTGTTGGACTCTTGAACACTTCTTAACCTGTCCCCCCGCCCTTTATAAAGTCACTTTACTGCCCATCATACGTCACTTTACTTCACTGTACTGCTGTCACCTTACATTGTGTGCACCATGTGCACTTGTATATTGTAAATAGTAACTGTAACTCTATTTTAAATTTAAATTTATTCTTTAGAAGTGTTTTTTATTCTTATTTTTATTATCTCTTTTTGACTGTTGCACTGAGCCAAAGCAATTTCCAAGTCTGTGACCTCCCGTTACTTACGTTGGCAATAAAAATGATTCTGATTCTGATTCTGATTCTGATTTCATGTTCACTATCAACCCAATAAACTTTATAGTGAGAATATCTACTGTGGCATTTATTGTGTTAGAAGGTGATACAAGTTCTAAGGAAGAACATCTACATTCACAATCAAGAGGTATAAGACATATTGGGACTGGGAGAGAATGGATGGATGGACATCTAGAGGGAGAAGTGGGAAATTACACTCTGCTTTTAAAGATAAAGGCATATAAATAAGACCATTTGGGGCTCAGCTGGGTCAGAAATAGAGCTGGAAGATCTTTAACCTACCTACCTACATGTTTTTAGTGTCAAGCGAAACCGGAGCACCTGGAGGAACCCAATGCAGACATGGGGAGAAAATGTAAAATCCACTTAGAAAGGCCTGGTTTTCATTGGGATTCAAACCCAGAGTTGACAACTTGCCAGAAACAGGGGATGGAAATGTAAATAAATGAACAAACCGTGCAGAATGGAACTATGACGTGTGGAAGAATTTAGAGAGTTAAAAACAGTTATGAACAAACACTATAACAATGGTTTTAAGTTGGTATGTGCATCTGCTTTATCCAGTCCCCTTTTCAAATGCCATGTACTTGTATTTCTGTGTCTGTCATTTTGAACAATGTGAACCATTGTCGATTTGAAATGACTTGGGTCATGACATCACAAAAGGGATTTTAGATTAGGCCTAAGATCTCTGTCCAGCCTTCTTTGCGGACACACAGCGGGCGGCTGTGTTTGCGATGCGTTCACTGACCTGGGGGATGATGGTTAGTCTGGATCTCAGATCATGGAGGCCGACAAGGGAGATGTCCGCCCCGTCGATGCAGATCTTCCCGCTGGCTGCCTCCAGAATCCGGAAAAGTCCCAAGGCCAGAGAGGACTTCCCCGCTCCAGTGCGCCCCACAATTCCAATCTGACACATAGGGAACACCGTTCAACAAAGTGCTCATGGTGAAAGTGCAAGAAGGCATTATTGGCTTATAAACATTTACTGGGCTGTTTCAATAACAAAAACAAATGCGTTTCTTGCTGCATTGAGTTTTATTTTAAAAGTATTTTCACCACATGTTAGACTTAAAGTTGCATTTTTTAAATGATGAAAAAGTAAAACAAAAGCATGTGGCTGTTTTATAACCGTGTATTTGAAAGGAAAAATAATTGCAGGGGCTTTTATAAATCTACATTTTCAATGAGGTAATGTGAAGGCAAGAGAGATGCCGTGGGACTGCATATGGAAGTTCTACAAAATTATTTACACAAGAGGTTTTTTTTACTTGATAGTTTTAGGATTGTTGTTGTTTAAGGGGCTACTGATCGTACAAAAACATATTGAATGAGACGGTGTGTCCAAACCTTTGGTCTGTACTGTACTGTACTGTCCTGTATATATATATATATATATATATATATATATATATATATATATATATATATATATATATACAGTACCTTGCGAAAGTATTCAAGTATTCAACATTTCGCCACATTTCAAGTTTCAAACATAAAGATATAACATTTTAATTTTTTGTCATGAATCAACAAGTTTAAACTTTTTTAACAAATGAAAAACTGAAAAGTGGGGCGTGCAATATTATTCGGCCCCTTTACTTTCAGTGCAGCAAACTCAGTCCAGAAGTTCAGTGAGGATCTTTGAATGATCCAATGTTGTCCTAAATGACTGATGATGATAAATAGAATGCACCTGTGTGTAATCAAGTCTCCGTATAAATGCACCTGCTCTTTGATAGTCTCAGGGTTCTGTTTAAAGCGCAGAGAGAACCATGAAGACAAAGGAACACACCAGGCAGGTCGGAGATACTGTTGTGGAGAAGTTTAAAGCCGGATTTGGATACAAAAAGATTTACCAAGCTTTAAACATCTCAAGGAGCACTGTGCAAGCAATTATATTGAAATGGAAGGAGAAGTTGGAGGCCGTCCCTCCAAACTTTCATCTCAAACAAGGAGAAGATTGATCAGAGATGCAGCCAAGAGGCCCATGATCTGGATAAACTGCAGATAACTACAGCTGAGGTGGGAGAGACTGTCCATAGGACAACAATCAGTCGTGCACTGCACAAATCTGGCCTTTATGGAAGAGTGGCAAGAAGAAAGCCATTTCTCATAGATATCCATTAAAAGTCTCGTTTAAAGTTTGCCACAAGCCACCTGGGAGACACACCAAACATGTAGAAGAAGGTGCTCCGGTCAGATGAAACCAAAATTGAACTTTTTGGCCACAATGCAAAACAATATTTTTGGCGTAAAAGCAACACAGCTCATCACCCTGAACACACCATCCCCACTGTCAAACATGGTGGTGGCAGCATCATGGTTTGGGCCTGCTTTTCTTCAGCAGGGACAGGGAAGATGGCTAAAATTGATGGGAAGATGGATGGAGCCAAATACAGGACCATTCTGGAAGAAAACCTGTTGGAGTCTGCAAAAGACCTGAGACTGGGACGGAGATTTATCTTCCAACAGGACAATGATCCAAAACATAAAGCCAAATCTACAATGGAATGGTTCACAAATAGACGTATCCAGGTGTTAGAATGGCCAAGTCAAAGTCCAGACCTGAATCCAATCGAGAATCTGTGGAAAGAGCTGAAGACTGCTGTTCACAAACGCTCTCCATCCAACCTCACTGAGCTCGAGCTGTTTTGCAAGGAAGAAAATGTTGAAAAGTTCAAATACTTTCGCAAGGCACTGTATATACAGTACACACCGTCTCATTCAAAACGTTTTTTGTTTTTTTTATGTTTCATTTAAAAAACAAAAAAATAACCAAAACAAAATTTCCAAACTCATTCAATCAAAGCAATCGTTCTTTCAAAAAACCTCCATGATGTAAAAAAGGAAGTACACAAACCTTCCACAAATACATTACAAGTTAGGCTTATGTCCCCTTCTCTTCTTTAAAATAAACCTTATTAAAAATACATCCACAAAATGATATATCTAATTTCTAACTCATGTATCAGCCCCAACTCCATGATGATTTACAGTCTTAAAAAATAAATAAAATGGTGAGTCAGTCCAACTTTGACAACATAAAAAAATTAATATATTTTCAAAGAAAGTGTGACAATTTGTTGTATCTCTAGACACGGATTGAAGAGAGAAGGGGAAAATCTAAAGATATGAAAGTCCAAACATGTGAGTCTTAAACGAGGTCAGTGTAACTAATATCATCAGGCAGAGCGTTCCATTTCCAAGAAACATGACGGGAGATGGACGCTTCTCTGACCCTCAGCCTCACACGAGGAGAAGCCAGAAGGTTGAGATGGAGGATCATAAGGCACCAGCAGGTCTGAGACGTAGGAAGAGCCAGACTATGGAGAGATTTCTTCAAGTATGTGATGTTAAAGTTAATCGGCCTGAACTAAGAATCTAGATACTTTTCCAGTGAGAAGACAAGACGCAGATTTTGGAATGAGCTGGGGGCAGAAGAGTGGAATCATCTAATCTATTTAAATTCAGGTATTTCAGCATATTTGCTAAAGGAGCCCACACATTATAGACATGTTTAAGTGAAAAAAGGACTAGTTAGTTACAAAAAATATGTTCTGTGTGTTGCTGAAAATGTATGATGACACTAATAAAATGTATAATTGTTACAGAAATGTCTTTTTATCCAGTTGCTATTATATTTTATCCATATAATACAGCATAATCTCAAAACATTGAAAAAGGTCTTAATTCAGACCTAAAGAGGAGCCCAGTGCACCGACACGGTCACAGTGGCAGCCATACAGTACATCACGACACTGTCATACGGGCACAGGATGAAACCGGACTCCACTGCTCACAAATTAAATTATAAACAATAACTGTATTGACTGAAAGAATAGACTGAGCGGTGCCATTTGTCCGACTCTCGTGTCACCCGAGTAAAGGTAAGTGGATCCATTGTTGAGAGCTTCAAGTTTGAGACGTTTCTATTCTTCTGCATCCAACAGGCCATCGCCGCTATGTGCGTAATGCTTTTGTTTGTTGATATGAAAACAATGCTCTCTACTGCCCTTTAGGGATGTCAAATGATTCTTAATTCTGGGGAATATCTGCAACTGTTGAAACCGAAAAAAAAAATCATGTACTTTACATGCATTTAATTGCAGTTCATGAACATCGTTCCTCACAAAAAAGATAGGCTAGTTTTCACATTCACGTATTTTCATTTTTTACGTCGATAATTACTTGCTGCTAATGCTAGTGCGGTGCAAGATCAAAATGTCCTTACTGTGGAATGTGTCTGACCGATCTTTTGGTTAAAATAACTATGTATCAATGGCTGTTTTCAACCATCTACATCAGTGGTTCTCAAACTTTTTACACCAAGTACCCCCTCAGAAAATACTGAAAACAAGGCAGAGGTTTCATTCCTAAAGAAGTTTTTGTATTTGCTGCTCCTTCTACATGGAACGTGTTGCAAAAAGACTGGAAATGTTCTGAACTTATTTCATTGAATGTTTTTAGATCGAGATTGAGCCTGAGACATCATCAGTGAAATGTAACTGTTTTTATCATCAGTAATTTTATGACATTTTAAGTGACTGTTAATCTGTATGTAACTATTTTATAATCTGTAATTTAATAAGTCATTTTTGTACAGGACTCCCTTGAAAAAGAGGTTCTCATTGACTGCCAGCTTGATGACTTCACTGATTTTCAAGACTCACAGAATATTGTGTGCGATGAAAAATATGAAACCAGAGTCTGAAAGACAGGACTGTCTACTTTCAGCAGCAAAAAGAAGTTTGTTTCTTGCTTGTTTCGTTCTCCTGTGATCTCCAGTCAAAAAGAGGAGAGTGTGACAAAAAGCACCAGTCTTTGAAAAAAGCTGAGAAAATTAGGTGTTTGTGAAAACAGACGAACCTGCAGAAAAGTGACTGTAAGTGACACTATTTATTTAACTTCAGCCTCTCCTCAAACATGTCCAGGATCTTACATGTTAGAAAACAGCAACAACAAGTTCTGAGAAAGTGTTTTTGATGCTGAAAAATATGTTTTATGGCACACAAATATTTCAAAATGTACTATTCCAAAAAACATCAACATTTACATATGGAAAGTAGAGCCCATGAAAAACTATGGCAGAAAGAATGGCAGGAATTCATCCATTAGGTGGTGCTATAGTCATGTCAATAAGAGTAAATCAGAGATAAGTAAAATTACAATGATAAACACTATAAATGACAATAAATCAAAGTGAACAGACTATACTTATACTATAAGTGCAATAGAATACTGTTGTGTGTCTTTGTGTGTTTGGGTGCGTATGTATGTGCGTTCCACATGGTCTATGTCAGCTCTGGAGACATATTTACTGCTCAAACTGGCTCCAAATGAAGCCTGTCCCTGACTATATTCCTCCATGCCTGCTTCGCCTCTGTCTCTCCTGCTCAGAGTGCTCAGACAGTGATCTTTGACCAAGACACCCACAGAGCTCTGCTGCCACCTGCAGGCTCAATAAAACACTGTCTACAACCAAACCCCAGACATATGATACAGGGGACAGAGACGGGGAGGAGAAGAGTGAAAAAGAGTGTCGAAGTCAATTGATGTCAATGAGTTAATCTCAATGGTACTTTCCTGGTTAAATAAAAAAAAAAAAAAAAAATATATATATATATATATATATATATATTGTTCCAGTTATTCTTTGGCACACCCCTAGAAGGAGCCCTGATCTACATTACCTACAGGTGGTCATAAATAGGTCAGGGCTCCAACCAATGCAAATGACCATGATACTAGTACAGTATAATATGTTTTCTAATAAGGTTAAGACAGTGTGTTGTGGTTCCTACTTTGTTACCTTTTCTTTTACAATACTTTTGACTCTTATTGTTGGACCAGCACAATGAACTATTTATGTGAAGAAAATAAGTAGAAAATACATTGATAAACATGAACAATGAAGAAAGAGAAGTCCAGGATGAGCAACCCTCCTATCCTGTGGTAGAGGTGGGAGATGAATGACAAACATGTATATTTTAAATGATTCTCTGCTTGTCTGTGACTGTTGTGTTTATTATTGCAGAGTGGGTTGTGGTGGATATACCTTCTCTCCGTCCTGGATGGTGAAACTGATGTCTTTGAGAGCCCAGTCTAAACCTTTACGATACTGCAGTCCGAAGTCCTCAAAGCTGATGACGCCGGTGCAGGGCCAGAGCGGAGAAAGGGTCCCAGGGTCTGACCTCCAGGGGGCCTGAGCGAAAGTCAGGACAGGTCCTTACACGTCAGACACACACACTATAGTCCTAAATGTTTTACTCTGCAGAACATTTCACCCTCGGACAATGAAACAAAACAAAAACACAATCACACAGCTTACAGTTGACAAACAGCTGCAGTGCATGAGTGAAAGGTGACGGTAACTTGGTGGGCGTGTGTTGGCTTGTCTGTGGGTGTTTCCAGAGAACACATCACCCCCGTCCTCCAGCAGCTCCATTGACTCCCCGTTCAATATTGTATCCAAGTCCCTCTATACAAGTCTCTCCATAACCTGGCCGCACCCTACCTTACCGAGCTCCTACAACACTAACCCACCCGCCACCTTGGCTCAGCCGACTCCAACCGCATTCAACCGCCTCACTCCTATCACCCGCACTAACCGCTGGACCTTAGGGGACAGAGCCTTTGTCATTGCCTCCCCAAACCTCTGGAACTCACTCCCACTGCCCATTCGAAGCTCTGACTTACTACCAAACTTCAAATCAGTTTTTATTCCCCATGTGAAGCATCTTTGAGTGTCCAAAAAAGCGAGTTTGAAGTATGATTATTATTATTATTATTATTATTATTACTATGGCCGTGTCTGTGACTGTGTCTGTAGCACTAGTGTGTGGGTGTGTCTGTACCTCTTTGGGGGTGTGGGCGTACTCCTTCACTCTCTCCACTGACACAATGTTATTCTCCACATCTGTCCAGGAGCGAACGATCCAGCTCAGCACGCCCGTGACCTGCACTCACACACACACACACACACACACACACACACACACACACACACACACACACACACACACACACACACACACACACAGCATCAACTTGGTGCTCTGTCATGTACAGTGCCTTGCGAAAGTATTCGGCCCCCTTGAACCTTTCAACATTTCGCCACATTTCAGGCTTCAAACATAAAGATATAACATTTTAATTGTTTGTCATGAATCAACAACAAGTGGGACACAATCGTGAAGTGGAACGAAATTTATTGGATAATTTAAACTTTTTTAACAAATAAAAAACTGAATAGTGGGGCGTGCAATATTATTCGGCCCCTTTACTTTCAGTGCAGCAAACTCACTCCAGAAGTTCAGTGAGGATCTTTGAATGATCCAATGTTGTCCTAAATGACTGATGATGATAAATAGAATGCACCTGTGTGTAATCAAGTCTCCGTATAAATGCACCTGATAGTCTCAGGGTTCTGTTTAAAGCGCAGAGAGAACCATGAAGACAAAGGAACACACCAGGCAGGTCCGAGATACTGTTTGGGAGAAGTTTAAAGCCGGATTTGGATACAAAAAGATTTCCCAAGCTTTAAACATCTCAAGGAGCACTGTGCAAGAAATTATATTGAAATGGAAGGAGTATCAGACCACTGCAAATCTACCAAGACCCGGCCGTCCCTCCAAACTTTCATCTCAAACAAGGAGAAGACTGATCAGAGATGCAGCCAAGAGGCCCATGATCACTCTGGATGAACTGCAGATAACTACAGCTGAGGTGGGGATGGTGTGTTCAGGGTGATGAGCTGTGTTGCTTTTAAACCAAACATATCGTTTTGCATTGTGGCCAAAAAGTTCGATTTTGGTTTCATCTGACCAGAGCACCTTCTTCCACATGTTTGGTGTGTCTCCCAGGTGGCTTATGGCAAACTTTAAACAAGACTTTTTGGATATCTTTGAGAAATGGCCACTTTTCCATAAAGGCCAGATTTGTGCAGTGCACGACTGATTGTTGTCCTATGGACAGACTCTCCCACCTCAGCTGTCGTTATCTGCAGTTCATCCAGAGTGATCATGGGCCTCTTGTCTGCATCTCTGATCAGTCTTCTCCTTGTTTGAGATGAAAGTTTGGAGGGACGGCCGGGTCTTGGTAGATTTGCAGTGGTCTGATACTCCTTCCATTTCAATATAATTGCTTGCACAGTGCTCCTTGAGATGTTTAAAGCTTGGGAAATCTTTTTGTATCCAAATCCGGCTTTAAACTTCTCCCAGTTGTCCCCTCCCAGTATCTCGGACCTGCCTGGTGTGTTCCTTTGTCTTCATGGTTCTCTCTGCGCTTTAAACAGAACCCTGAGACTATCAAAGAGCAGGTGCATTTATACGGAGACTTGATTACACACAGGTGCATTCTATTTATCATCATCAGTCATTTAGGACAACATTGGATCATTCAAAGATCCTCACTGAACTTCTGGAGTGAGTTTGCTGCACTGAAAGTAAAGGGGCCGAATAATATTGCACGCCCCACTTTTCAGTTTTTTATTTGTTAAAAAAGTTTAAATTATCCAATAAATTTCGTTCCACGTCATGATTGTGTCCCACTTGTTGTTGATTCATGAATTTTTTTTTAAATTTTATATCTTTATGTTTGAAGCCTGAAATGTGGCGAAATGTTTAAAGGTTGACGGGGGCCGAATACTTTCGCAAGGCACTGTACATGGGTTGGATGCCCACATTTCCTCAGCATCATGACTTCCTTAGCATGAATGACTTAGTGGCATTAAAACATTGGCAGAATCAAAGAATATGTTACAGGTATAATTAAACACATTCAAAAGGCTGCATGTGGGGTCCTGAGTTGTAGCAAAGCTCCTTTCACATTTGTCCTGTGCTCAGGTTTCGGAACAGGCTTCTTGCGGTTTAGAGAATAAGGAGTACATTTTCAAATAGTGAAAACACTCAAGGAGTTAACAGAGCCATTGTTTTATTCCTCCGCCGCACGGGCACTTAATCGAGAATTTAGAGTACTGATGGTTTCATAACTGTGGAGGGCAGCATTTCGCACGCCAGCGTACAGCCTGCCGGAAACAATTAGAAGAATAAGACGAATAAGGGGTAAAGCAGCTCAAAGTTAATCTGACAGGCCTCCTGCTAGGGCCCAGAGTCAGGACTTATGCAGCTAATGTCTGCAATGTTTGACTTCCTGAAAAAGATTCAAATCCTAATCCCAAATGATTCCTTAAGAAGGGAATAGTGTGGACATTCAGAGTTTTTGAAGTATTGTGTGCACAGACCTGTAGTGAATGAGAAATGGCCAGTCCCACTATACCAGAACTCAGCTCTTTCCTTCCAAACACTGAGAAGAGAGCAGACGCCAACACCAAGAGGCTCCCCAGAAACTCCAGGTTCACTGCCAGCCACCTGCAAATACAACATCAATCACCTTTATTGTCCCAGAAGGAAATCAGTTTTAGTCTCACATATCTGGATTTACATAAACACTCTCAACATTAGGACGATTAGGACAATGCAGAAATGTAACACAAAAATATATCTTTGCCATATTATTACAGCATTATTAAAGTGCTTGTGCCAGAATACAAACAAAGGCCTCTCTAACAGATGGCCACACACACACGCGTGTATCCATACAGATTACCCTAGGTGAGCTGTGGATGTTTGCAAATCCAGTGTAACCATTGGCCCCATGTCTGCATCTACTGTATGATCACACTGATCATAGATGCAGACAGTCCAAGCTGTTAGTTTGGATAGACAGTTGAGGCCTGATTTGCAGATTTGGATTGAACAGTCCTCTGTGAGATGTTCAAAGAATTTTTTTTTGAAAAGAACAACCTCATCCCCGAACTCAGACATCTCTGATGTGCTTCTTGGCCGTTTAGTGACCAATACACTCCGACCCTAACTCTGAGCCCCTCACAGAACAGCTGTATTTATACTGAGAGTAGATTACACACAGGAGGCCTCTATTCAATCATCAAGGCAACATTTGACTGATCAGGAAACTATAGGCAATTGGATTCAGAGAAAAGGAATGGTTTTACAAACCACACTTTGCAATTTTATATATTTTAACATATATGTTGGAATAATATTGTGTATCAGAGTATTCTGTTACTTTGTTGTGGTTTTTCATAAAAAAATCCAAAATAGAATCTAAATATCTATACCTTTGTGGTTGTAAAAATGACAATATGTTGTCTTAGCCCTTCTAGAACTGTTCTCAGGTGAAGTGAATCTGTTTGCATGTGGACACACTCATTTATAGACCTACAGTAGTTCTCCCTGTACGCAATTTGGTTTCACAACTTTTAGATGTTATGCCTCCGAGCGGACATGTCCATAACTCTGGATTCAAGACGCTGTTACTCCTACAAACCCCTTTCTTTCCCGTACACTGCCATTCCTAAATCTATGATATTGGAATGGATGGATTTCATTGCACTTGCATTGCAGAGTGGCGGGGCACTCCCTCAGACATAGATGGAGGAGCTCAGTCACACAAGAGAAGCATCTGCTTGTCTAAGTCAAAAGGAGCCAACTGAGCTCAGGTATCTGGTCGGGATGACCCCAACACCTCTGTGGACGGGTTCCTGTTCCGAGCATGTCCCTCTGGTAAGATTCCCCAGAGATGATCAATAACATGCTAGATGTATGTGGAGAGCAAAGCCTGAATATAAAATTGGTATCAATGAGAAAAATGACGGGTGCTCTCTGACCTGGTGGCCACAAAGCGTGGGAAGTAGGCCTCCTGGTTGGTGTCCACAAGCCTGTTGGCCGACTGGACAAAGCGGCTCTGCTCTCTGAACGCACGCACCACCGCAGCGCCATGGAAGCTCTGGTTAAAGTGAGTGTAGAGGGGCGAGCGACTGATCGCCTCCAGACGCCTCAGCTGACAGGAGCACACCACGTAGAACCTCTGCAGAGAACATTCTGCATCATGTTACACAATGATTGGCCGTTAGAACTACAGAAAGCTCAAATCGCTATGTGTGCTGATGACTCAATTAATTCATCACAAAATACCATTGACAAACTTGGAACTGTGTTGATGGGAGACAGAAACTCTATGAATCAATGGGTCAAAAACATAAAAATCCCTCTCAATCAAAAGTATTTTGTGTTTGGAACCAGAGTCGAAATCACAGTCGACGATGCACGTGTTGTAGCAAGTAAATTGAGCAATGCAACTGGGAGTGGAACTAGATAGGAGTCGGTCATGGTCCGAACACATGTGCAAAAAAAGACCGGCATTCCTCAAGCCTCAAATACAGTTTAAATGTGGGGGCACAGACGTCCCCAATGTAAATATCACATTGGTTGTTGAACTCATGCGTCCATCTAGTTGCAAAAAGGTTATTACATTTTTATCCAAATGTGATTAATTGTGAATAATTAAAGCTCACTTTATTTAGGTATTCATTACAAAAATTCAATCCATATCGATGCAGTGCATTGGGATATACGTCCTTTTGAAGAATAAACAGCGCAAATGTGCAATCCATTTTGTGAGACGTGAGCTCCGTAAACAGCACATGTGCGGCTCAGGGGCTCACATTCGAAAATTTCACAAAGTGAGTTACTGCAGCTTTAAGTTTGCTTTTATTTTCACCACTGCAAATGATAGAAGAATATACATCTGATGCACAACCAGCAACGTAAAGTTATTGGAGAGTGGCACTTAGAGCCCCAAAAGTGAGAAGTGACTGTGGTGCTAACAGTTCTACCGTGACGATTACCTGGAAGATGGCATAGAGCACGGCCAGTGGCAGCAGCACCACCCCAATGAGGGGCGTGGCCAGCAGCACGATGATGCACACCTCCAGCAGCTTGAAGAGGTACCCCAGCATCATCTTCAGCCCGTCCGGGATCATGCAGTCAATGGCGTCTATTTCCTTGGAGAAGCGGTTCAGCAGGCTGCCGCTCTGAGTGCTCTCGAAGAAGGCCATGGGGGAGCGGAGGACGTTCTGCAGGAGGTCAGAGTGGAGGTGTCTGGACGCACTGATGCCACCCAGAGAGATGGCCAGGGTGGTGGCGAACATGGCTAGACCTGTCAAAGAGACATCGGTTCCAACATTGAATCGTTCAATGGATGTTCGTGTTTGCAATCTTTATATGGCCATTTGTTCCGATGGCCGACATGGTTGCTACGGTTTTTACGCAGATTTTCTCTCTGCGACTGAAGGCCGCTAATTGATCAATCCTTATGGCTCATATCTGGATTTACAGAGACAATATATAGACACCAGGCCCATCGAGAACGCTAAATCACGGATTTGTGAAACGCAAAATGGTGATTGTGACACAAACAGTTATTTAGCTAGAGAAGGTTACTTTTCAATGCAAGTCAATAGGAGCCAGAGCAAAAACTACATCCATGAGCAATTCCCTACGGTATTTCTCCTAATGGAAGATATTCCATTGGAAGTGTCCTGTTTAATCATGTCCAAATAATTTCCTTGCATAATGTGCCCCTAATGGAATCTCGTCTTGGAGTAGCTGCCAAAGAAAAAGGCGGGAAACCTTTCAATCTCAATAGTTTAAATTTGGTTAGACTAATATTTTTGTATGTTGACCTTGGTGGATGCCTGCAGCTGTGGTCCGAGTTATATACAGTCTAAGCTGCTGATTGATGCGTCCTCTCTGCTCACCCTGCGTCAGCCCCAGTGCTGCGAACACGCCCAGCCGCAGGTCATGGTCGCTCTGCGTGCCGTTCACCGGAGCGTCGTCGGCCCACACGCTCAGCCAGTAGTTATAGCTGAGGGACGCCCCCTGCTGGAAGGCATACAGTGCCACGATGAGCAGGAGGAAGGCCAGGCCGATGGTCTCAAAGTACTCCTTATACGTCTGCAAGCGGATCTGTAATTCACACCTTTGGTTACCATTAGGATGCTTACACACAGACCACATTTTAAGAAATGTTATGAAGAATATATTTATATTTATTTCAAATGTGTAACTTGTTTCCACCAAGAGTCAAAGCAATTTCCTAGTTTGTTACTTCTTGTTACTCACACTGGCAATCAAAACAATTTTGACTCTGATTAAGATAGTTATCGAATATCGATGGTCCATCAGGTGTCTTTTATTCCATATTCGACTGCCATAAGTAGCAGACAGCTTGATCGGCCTGGATTCTGATTGGCTCTTTGGTTGCCATGACAGTTTGGCTGCATATTCCTGCCCATGGAGCTGGTCAGAGCAACTCAAATCTCCTGGTAAAAGTCACACGCTGCGGAGGACTTGGCTCAGTCCACTCCTGTTCCAGTCTGTGGAAGACACATACCCGTCCAGTGTGAGCTCGGTCCATCTCTGTGAGTTTCCCAGGATCCTCTGGGCCAAAGTCCAGGAGAGGCTGTGTGCTGGTGCTGCTCAGGTCACAGCTGTAGAAGAGCACAGGGTCAGTCTCCCCTCCCCCTCAGAGCACAAGGTCAGTGGTTCATCTCTCTCTCTCTCACCTGAGCAGCTGCTGTTCCTGGGACAGATCAGTGGAGAATTCTGTCATACTGAGACGAGACAGGGACCTAGACCTTCTGCTGCCTGCACACACACAACACGCACACATAAACTTTGAGGAATAGTTCACATCTTGCTCCATTCAATCTCCAATCTCAAACCTGATACACTATGTAGAATCCATATACTGTTGGTTACTTTGATTATCAGGTGAAGGTTACAGGGAAGTGAAGAACATAGTAAAGATTAGGATAAGTCTAATCTGGAAAGTTCAGCGTTTTCAAATGGGAATGGGAATGAAAACTCAGAACGCATATCAATTCAAGTAAGCACACAGCTGCAATGATAACAGAAGAGAGAAGCTCAACACATGGATTCACTTTCTGAAGGAAGGACCTGATAGTGCTTCACGTCTTGGCTCTACTTGCATGCGAAAGCCAGCCTCTGAAGCTACCCAGGGCAGGGCCTGGCTAATACAGTGATGGGAGACTTCTGGGAACACCAGGTGCTACAGTAGGGTGGGTGCGGCTGTAAAGTGCCAAACTGTTGCTGTGTCTTTAGGCAAGACACTTCACCCACATTGCCTAGAATGAGTCTGCTGTGTGTATGAATGGTTGGTGGTGGTCGGAAGGGCTGATGGCACATATGGGTTGCCTCGCTTTTTTCAGTGTGCCCCAGGGCAGCTGTGGCTACATTAGTAGTCAATAACCACTGTGTATGGAGTGAAAGAATTATGAGGCGTGTTTGAGTGCCCAAAGAAGTGCTATGTAAAATCAATGCATTATTATTGTTATTATTGTTATTATTGTTATTATTGTTATTATTGTTATTATTATTGATTAAGGAATGCTGTAATATGGTTTAAACAAAGGAAACGTTGATTTTTGGCATATATGAAGTGTGCTGGTTGCTTGCGTCTAGGACACATCTGACACTCTGGGAGGTACAGGTACCTCGTTCGCCGGGGCAGCTGTCGCTTCTGTGCGGGCTGACTCCAAACGTCTTGATGAACTTGGCGAAGGAGCCTTGTCTGTCCATGAGCTGTGAGAATGAGCCGCTTTCCGAGATGCGGCCCTCTTCCAACACCAGGACCACGTCACACTGGGGCAGCAGGCTCGCCCCGTGGGTTACTAGAATCCGGGTCTGATCCCCACAGAGGACGGGAAATGAGATATGTGCTTTTATGTGCTTATCAAAGGGGACAATATATGCAAGAATATGGAATTGTAATTTTCTGGTTGGGCCCATGAATAGAGACTTGGTGGGGGATATTTACTTTAGCTTATTTTATTTTTTTGAACTTGAAAGAATTCCTTCAGTAGAAGATGGATGAACAAGACAATGAAGAGGTAGAGATGGCTAGAAGGCTCCAACAATGCAGTCTTGTGACAGAAGTGGGACGTGGCATTCAGCTGTAGCTACATCTACAGTACATTCAATATCATGCTACTTGAGGTTTTTTGCCAACAAATCTTATTATCAGAAAACAGCTGTGTCCATGACGTGATATTTCAAGGATTTGTCGTATAGAGATTTGATGAAAATATCGTATCACATTAATTCATGATCGAACAATCCCTTCCAAAATGTTCTAAATGTTACATTGTCACCCAGCCCAGCCCTCATTGTCTCTTTGTGGATTGGGGTACGGATTGTTACCTGTCCCCGGAGAAGCCCATTGGGGCCGATGACGCGGTCGAAGATGTGCTGGCCCACATGAGCGTCCACCGCAGACAGGGGGTCATCCAGCAGGTAGATATCCAACTTCCTGTAGACGGCCCGGGCCAGGCTGACCCTCTGCCTCTGCCCCCCTGACAGGTTCACTCCCTGGGAGCAACAGAGCACCATGAGTCTTATGTTCATGGTGAACGGAGGCGGTCTCCAACCTGTGGCTTGGGAGCATACCAGTCCCTCGGCAAGCCCTTTCAGTTATAGCTCCGCAAACAATTCAAGAATATAACACATGATTCTGAATAATTCACATTTGAGCCTTTTTTCTTGACCCATAAATCTTTTAAATCTAATAATTTTCCATATACAGTGTGTATGTGTGTTCTCCATGATTTGCTGTAGTTATTATAGACAACAATTCTATTCCAACTGCTAAAGGAGTAGCTCTCAGAATTTTCTGTTGAATAAAAGCTGCTCTCCAATCAAAAAAGGTTGGAGACCCCTGGAGTGGTGTGTTCAAGGGGAAAACATAACATCTGTCAAAAGTCCACAATACAATATCCAGGAACACTGTGTTTGATATCTGAAAATCAACAAGATGCATCACTTTTGGCCAATAACAATTATTATCACACTATTCATCATTAGAATGCGAAAACATGTTTAAGTAAAACATTTTTCACAACATTCACTCTATAGGACACTGGGGCAGAGGTACAGAAGCAAAGCAACCAACCTCTGACCACCACCACCAGTTATACACACACTCACCACTAGTAGTAGCTCACCTTTTCTCCAATCTCTGAGCTGTCGCCCGCGGGGAGCAGCTCCAGGTCGGGCAGAAGGGCACAGGCCTCCAGGACACGGTGGTACCAGCTCTCTGACCGTGGGGCTCCAAACAGGATGTTCTCTTTCACCGAGGCGTTTAGGGTCCAGGCCTGCTGAGGGACCAACGCCAACGAGCCCTGAGAAAGATTTAGAGAAGGAACACGTTCAACATTCACCATCACAGCTGTTTTAGAGCCCTTCATGTACAATCCGCACCACCTCCACGGCACATCCACCGTTTAACTTTTTTTGCATTTTCTTCTCTGCATCTGTGATTCATAGATTATCCGGATATGTTGCACGCACAGTACATCTCAAAAACACATTAATACCTGATTGTTTATTTGTTGCCGCCTGAGCAGAGCCTGCAGGGTCTTTGTTGTGACCCTGTTTACGGGTAAGGGAACCTACTGTAGAGTAGTACACCAATACCTCACAAACAATTCAACTGATCTTAAATCTTAACCTAACTTTCAAACCACAAACAAATGGGAACTTGGTGTGGCAAGCTGGACTTGGCCACCATATTTCTGTCCAGTAGAGGGCGCCTACGCCCAGTATAAATAGCCTAGATTTACGTCTTTTGTTTACCTCTGCACTTCCGTCTCTTGTGTGTCGTCGCGCCAGCCCTTCTCCTGCTCCAGTGCCGCGGTGTGGCATTGTGCCCCGCGAGTCCTCCTTGTGCATGGCCACACTGTCCAGTCGCTTTGGTGTCTGGCCGCCCTCATTGCTGGGGTCCGAGTGCGTCGTAGCCGGCTGTTGGTCTGGGCCTGTAAACCGCCACTCGTCAAGAGTGCGCGCTCAGTGTTGGCTGTGGAAATGCTGAGGACTGGCCACACCGCGGCCTCCCGCTGTTTCTCCCGCTGTTTCTCCTGCTGTCTCTCCCGCTGTTTCTCCTGCTGTCTCTCGTTTCTCACCATGTTGTATGTTCCGTTGTGTGTTGTTCACCTGTACCCCTGAGTCGTTTGTGACAGGAAATGTGACAACGCGTGAAACCTAAAGAGAACTATCACAACTTAATAAATCAAAGTAAACGTAATGTCTATGCCTCTCAATTATGATTTACGAACCTGTGCGCCTTAGAGCGCTTTATATTTTATTTTGGGCACTTTGCCCTTGCGTTGCTGGTTTTTCTTTCTCATTTATATTTTCATATTCTTTAAGGAGCGCGTAGCAGCCTCCACTTTGCCACACTTGGCGTACGCTGGCAGGATAATCGTTAAAATGAGGCATAGTGTACTCTGTTCTTTGTAGCCAATTTCAGTAGCATTAGCGTTTTGTTTTATGTGACTTAAAACCTGTCATTGTTTTGTCTTGTGTTTTATTATTTTCTTTGTTTTGATGTGCTTTTTTTGTGTGCTTTTGATTTGTGCATGGTCTTTGTTTTAAATTTAAACACAGCCATAAAATGACACGGCTAAAACCCTCACATGTGAACTTTTGCTATGCTATCTGTCTGGTGTTGCTGTAATGTGTCGCACTACTGTTGTAAATTCTGTGTTTTGTGAAGGAGAAGCAGCGGTGGTTGGAGCAGTATAGTTGCGGAGAGATGAGACGGGATTTCAGATGGTCACCCGTGAAGCCTAGTGGAACCTGCACACCTGTAACTCGGAGGCTCCTGTGGCGTAATCCCAGACAGCAGTGGTGTAGTGAGATTAAGGATGCCTCACTTGGCGTTTAAGGCGCACCTGTTTACCTGTGTGGTCAGGGAGTACTTCCGTGTGCAGCAGGTAGGCTTGAGTATGAGAAACTTGCAGTGGATTTTCAAAGCCTTCAGGGCCTCCTTTTCTCGCCTTCACGGCATTAGAATTGGAACAGTGATCATCCAGTTGCGTTATGCTCGGTGGCTGCCACTGATGTGTTTTTAGTTCGTTTTAAGCTTAGCGCTGCGTGGTCTTTTAGTGGCTCAAACCCACGTAGACCGGTTTTTAGCTTTTAGATGCGTGTGTCAGGAACGTTCATGTATGAGTGATAGCGCTATATTTGAGAGTTGTGTGTGAGTTTAGTTGACGTCGGGGCGTCGTCAAAACTTTGGGGGGATGAATGTGGCAAGCTGGACTTGGCCACCATATTTCTGTCCAGTAGAGGGCGCCTACGCCCAGTATAAATAGCCTAGATTTACGTCTTTTGTTTACCTCTGCACTTCCGTCTCTTGTGTGTCGTCGCGCCAGCCCTTCTCCTGCTCCAGTGCCGCGGTGTGGCATTGTGCCCCGCGAGTCCTCCTTGTGCATGGCCACACTGTCCAGTCGCTTTGGTGTCTGGCCGCCCTCATTGCTGGGGTCCGAGTGCGTCGTTGCCGGCTGTTGGTCTGGGCCTGTAAACCGCCACTCGTCAAGAGTGCGCGCTCAGTGTTGGCTGTGGAAATGCTGAGGACTGGCCACACCGCGGCCTCCCGCTGTTTCTCCCGCTGTTTCTCCTGCTGTCTCTCCCGCTGTTTCTCCTGCTGTCTCTCGTTTCTCACCATGTTGTATGTTCCGTTGTGTGTTGTTCACCTGTACCCCTGAGTCCTTTGTGACAGGAAATGTGACAACGCGTGAAACCTAAAGAGAACTATCACAACTTAATAAATCAAAGTAAACGTAATGTCTATGCCTCTCAATTCGGGCGTTCTGCTCTCCCAAAATTTCATCCACTGAGCGGCGCTGTGATCAAAAAATGACACAGTTTGTTGCCCAGTTCACTTCCGGTTGATTTCATACAATGGCGAATATGGCTCACGAAAACAACAAACGATTGACAGTGCCTGAATTGCGTGAAAGGTTGAAGCGAAAGGGTATTTGCAGTGTGGGAAAACGAAAGGAGGAATTGTTGTTGCTAGTTCAACGAGCGGATGGTGTTTATGAAGATTTAGAAGAAGATGACAGGGAGCAGAGTGAACAAAAACGGCTGTGTGTGCGAGTGACAGATGGTAACAATGAGAATGAAGTTCAGCTAAGAGGGAAGAATGTGAATTGGACGGATGATTTGCGCGGTATGCAATTAGCGGCGGCACACTTGAAGCCCATGATAAAACCGGATTCAACAGAAAATGACGAAAACACAACCATTTAGAGAAAATGCGCCGGGCAGAGAGAACCGGAAGTTGCCAAGGCAAGTGTTACCCATAATGCAACGCAAAATTCAGTCGCTCCCCCGCCCATCGGATGGAATTTTGGGAGAGCAGAACGCCAGAATTATGATTTACGAACCTGTGCGCCTTAGAGCGCTTTATATTTTATTTTGGGCACTTTGCCCTGGCGTTGCTGGTTTTTCTTTCTCATTTATATTTTCATATTCTTTAAGGAGCGCGTAGCAGCCTCCACTTTGCCACACTGGCAATACAATAGATTTAACTCATTCCTGTTTTTAAAATCTGTTTAGATTCAAATGCATGCATATTTAGCCTCTGTCACAGCTTAACCCATTTGTGCCCACATTTTTTTCAGAGTGTTAATGCATATAATATTAAGTTGTGTGCCCTAGAATGAGGAAATGTATTTTTTTTTTTTTTTCCAATTTTGGACCTTGCCTTGAAGAAAATAGCATTTTTAGGGCTGGTCTGCACATAGCTTGTCAGTAGGTCATAATGGATTTATAAATATATTTATATTTATTATAACTGGATATAATCATCCCAGAAAGGTTGTGATCAGCCAAACTGATTGTGATTGATTCCTCCTTTTATAAAATCTAAAACAACAAACAACTTGAATGGTTTCTTTATTCTAAAATAAAAAACTAAAGTTTTCAAAAAGGGACATTCTGTGGCTTTTCTTTTTCCCAACAGCCAAAAAATAACAAGGACTGATACCAAGGGTAATTTCAAGAAAGTATAGATTATCCATGTTATTTAAATGTGTTCTGCCCTAAACACACACTCACGAGGTATGATACTTGAAGCACTCCACATGTGGCGGCACAACACATTTCTCACAGAACTTGCATCGTTGTACTTGTACTTACTACTGCTGTTGCAGGGCCAGTGTTTGAGGTTGTCGAACCTGCTGGCATCAGCCATGTCCACTTCGACTTACTCCAGGCATGACCAAATTCAGGCCCCTGGGCCAATTGCGGCCCCCTGCTGCTAACAGTCACCATTGAGGCACTTTGATAGTGTCATCCAACCAACTTCAGCTCCACCAATACAGTCATGCTATATCTTGCTGTAAATCTCAGACACTCTGGAATCCAGTTGTTGACTCTATTGTTATTTACTTACATTTGTTTTATGATTGTGTGGTCCTCTTACTAAAAGGTTTGGACACCCGTGTCTTACTCCATGACGCTGGAGGAGGGTCTGACCTATGCTATATCAAAATCCTACAGACACAGGCTTTGAATACCTGTCAATACTTTATTTAGATGTAATTTAAGAGTAATCTAAGAGGTTTAAAATTATCCATTGTACAACATTCTACAATTTGAAATAAGTAAATTATGGCACTGTTTGTACTAGGCATTGTTTTCCTTTCCTTTAGTGACATCATATGTGCCCAGAAACATGTCCATAACTCAAAAAATATTTTTCCCAGGTACAATGTTTTGAGGGAGGGTTACTCGAGACTTGAATGATCAAATATTTATTTCTATGTTTGGGGAAAAATTATTCAAAATGACCTCTTTCTGGGATGATTTGCTTCATTCATGTTTTCACTCGGAAGGGACTGGAAGCTGATGATGTTACGTGTCAGGAAGCATCAGGAAACATGATTTTTTGAAGTTATAACTTTGTCTAAGTTGTTTACTCGCATATAAGTGGAAAAACCTGTAATAATACCTTTAATTTTGTTTTCTGTGAGCAGAAAATGACAATGATAAACTTCGGCAACTATAGTTGCCGGTGGGGCTAAATGGGATCAGCTTTTTAAGACCGAAATGGGAAGAGGGGGCAGAGCTTTGAGCAGTACGATGGAAGAAAAAACAGACTGGCGCCAATTTGTCTCTATTATACTTAGTTTTTGCACAATAGGGAGATAAATACTATATGTTTTACCACAAGTTATAATTAGTAGTTGATACAGACAGCATACACAACAGGCAGATACAGTGCCTTGCGAAAGTATTTGGCCCCCTTGAACCTTTCAACATTTCGCCACATTTCTTCAAACATAAAGATATACAATTTTAATTTTTTGTCATGGATCAACAACAAGTGGGACACAATCCTGAAGTGGAACAAAATTTATTGGATAATTTAAAC